CACTCTGTTCCTTTTCCAAAATGCATGAACCCTCCGCCATGCCCGCAGTACCTACCTGTACATCCCATGTCCAAAAGCTAAGCCAAACCACGACACTAGTTTCAAGATCTAAGAATCCTCTAGCTGGAGCGTATGCAGATACTGGTTTGCAGTTTCCATTGACCTGCTGAACTAAATAGTTCAATTCACTATTTACGCAGTTGTGAAAACCAGGCACATGCCTAGTCAGATTTACAACGTTTTACCATTGAACAATGGATGGTGAACCCAAGAGACCCTACAGAATGAGACAGCATCCTCCAGCAGAGTATTCATTTGAATTGGGAAGCTGCCACATTCCCATTGTATCGGAAAAACATGGCCTTTTGAGAGACCTTGCCCATAGGATCTTCCCAAGCCTGAACATCCTCAATGGGCAGGTTTGCCATCCACGCAGCCTAAGTTCAATGGGTACCGGTATCGTTGTCATATGTGCTGGGCCATGGAAAAGATAAGAACTGGCAGGGGAAGTGATATTACCCAGACCTGATACACTCAAAATGTGCCAGCTTTGAGTTGGACAGTCATTGGAGCTATGCTATGATGTTGCAGCAGTGCTTTGCATTGCAAACCCATTGAGCCAGGGAACCATCAGAGCACCAGAGACATAGGACACCACACACGCTGCATTCTTGTTCAGGGCAGTGCCACACTTCCCAAAGTAGACAATCTCCTTCTTTGCCTTCCACTCTGGGAGCTTGGTGAAGACGCCACATGCTGGCCTGTTCATGTAGGGATTGAGCTGGAAGTTGCCATGCTTCTTTGGGAGCTTCTCGTAGAGGTAGTCCTTCAATGCCTCGAACGACAAGTTCCGGCAGAACTTCATGTGCTGGAGAAAGACCCCTTGGACCAAAGGATCTAGCTCAACAGTCGCTTCCATGCATTCCTTCTCCTTTTTCTTGCGGCGGCCCTGCTCCTTCTTTGCAAAGGGCGAAAGTGCCTGCTTCTTTCTTCTCTTGGCTCCCCCCTCCTCCTCAGCCGCCACATCAGCAGGCTCCTTCCGTGGCCTCGATGCATTCAGTCGGGCAGGGACATCCTCTTCAAAGAGTTGCTGAAGCGGCTTGACATTGCCAGACTTGGACTTTGGATCAATCCGCAGGTGAGGACTTTCATCACCATCTGCGGCACCATGAAAAAGTTTCCTCCTGACATTGTCATCCTCAGGTTCTTCCAACTCCTCCTCCATCTCCCCTTCATTCTCCTTTGCAATCTCCTCGTCACTCTTGCTGCCCTGTTGCTTCCTGGCTCGACTTTTTTCTTTTGGGAGTTGCCTTTGCCTTTCCCTTGGCTTTCGGCTTCGGCTTCGGCTTCGCTTGCGCCGCCTGCTTTGCCTTTGCCTTTGCCTTTGGTTTCGGCCCTTCTTCCTCACCCTTCGAAGCCTCAGCCTTAGCCTGACCTTCACCACCTTCACCATCAGCTGAACATTGCTTCAGCCTCCTCCGCTTTGGGGCCGGATCTTCGTTCTGCTCCTCCTCCACTTCCACCTCCCCACTCTTAGCTTCAGCATCAGCAGAGGCCTTTTTGCCCTTGGCCTTTGCCTTTGCCTTCGCTTCAGCTTTGGCCTGCTTCTTGGCCTCTTGTTCTGCCTTCTTGGCAGCCTTTTTTGCTTGCTGCGCCTCCTTTTTCTCAAGCTTTGCAGCCTCCTTGGCCTCCTGTTCCTCTTTCTTTGCCTTCACTTTCTCTTCCTTGAGCTTGAGTTGGTCCCGGCGAGTCAGCACCTGCAGGCAGATGCCAATGAGCAGTTTTTTGATTTTGAATTTGTCAATGCATGATATTAGGGCCATGGCCCTGGCCCAGTCTGAGAAATTTTGCATTCAGTGGAGATGTGAAATGTACAAAAACTGATAAATGATAATACATTAAAGCCATTCCACTATATTTTAATTTCCATGGCCAGCAAAAAGATTGACAACATTACCACTAACACCCAACCTTTGGTAGTCCCCCTTGCTCCGCGCTGTAAGGCTGGGTTTCATTATCCACAGGCATAGTCAGGTCAAAGGCAGCAATCTCAGGAGTGGCATTCTCATTCTCCAAGGGCTGGGTCTCATCTGTGTCACGTACACCTGATTTACGAGCTTCTTGTGCAGGGCCTAGCCAGGGACAAACAAATCCTCTCTACAAAGACATGTTCTCAATCTTGTTCCTTATGACATTTAACTAAATCACTCTGGCTAAGCCCTGCTATCAATTTGGTGTCAAGGATCAACATTGTAAGGTGATCAGTGACGGTTGTACAAAAAGACATGGTAGAGTTTGGCTGGCATGAGGATGAGAACTTGGTTTCATCCAAATCCCTTTAGGGATTGTTTTTTGTCAGGCCAGCCTTTGGCTGAAGCTGCAGGGGGTTCAGCTTCTTCTTTCGGCAGAGGAGGTGGTAGACTCCTCAGAACCAAAGAGGTTTTCTTTTTGGCAGATTAGATTAGAACATGGAGTAGCGTTTTCAGCCCAGGGCTCCAAAATGAAGATCCCTATTTATGTGTCCATGTTTTTCAATCGTTGGCCCCAGCCAAATCAAGGAAAGCATCTTTGCACTTGCAAGCGCTTCAGCCCTCTTCTCCGCAAGCTGCTTGGCAATGTGAGCTCGGAGCTCCTGCACGCGCTGTTGGATCGAAGCACCTTGGCAGCTGGCAAAGCAGACCAGTCAAAATGTGTTTCGTTCCAATCACTACAACAGACCTTCAAGTATATGCCTCTGACTTACCGTTGTTTTTAATTCCAATCAAGAAACACTGGCATGGAGAATGCTCACATTTGCCACACTTCTCATCCACAGCAGTCAGAGGGGCATCACTGGGCATAGGAGATTCAACCGCACTGTCCAACCATTTTTTGAAATCGTCAAACTCATTCTTGGACTGATCATCCTCATCTTCAAACTCTTCATCTACCTCCAACTCACCAGAGCTTGCAGATCGAGAGCGCTTGCATGACTTCATGTACAGGTCAATGGCCTCCTATACAGGAACCCTCCAACAATCAGGTTGACCTTGGAACTTTTCACAACCCAATGGAACCCAAGAATTTGTCATCATTGGACCTTTAGTGAAGAGTTTTGCCCCCATGCCACACATGTTTAATATGTACCAGTCCTGGATAGTGGGATCCAAGATCAAAAGCAGCACATGAAAGGACTTGTCCTGGCAGGGGCAAGTCATGGAAAACCAAACTATGCTGCAAGACTTGAATCAAATCAAAAGGGACCAGCAGAACCCCTGTCAACTTTGAGTGCCGTGCTGTGTTAAAACCATTAATTATTTTCATGTTTTGGTATTGAAACCACTGATGATGTGGCACCATTGTGAACACGCACCCCAATTTAGTAGTGACATTGTCAGACTCTAACCCTTTTCCTTCGTGACTTCACGTCTCTTGCAGCGCCGCTTCACAAAACCAGCCAAGCGCTTCAATTCAACACTGCTTTTGTAGACAAGATCATCTCCGGGATTCATGCCACACTTCTCAAACAAGGCCCGCAGTTCCATTTGCAGGCCTTCCAAATGTGGAAGGGCATTCTTCTCAGTGTCAGCTAGGCGGACCAAGACCGGACGAAGAACAGCACTGTTGGCAACCGCATTCACCCGGGAAGGGACACAAAAGGTCTCTCCACTCTGTTTCTCCAAGAGTGCATTTGTTACACGTACACGATCACGGACTTGGGGATCTTCCTCCCATTCACGACAGAGCCCACAACAATCCATTGCCGCCCACAAAACACTTCACAAGAGGGTGCAGGGAGACTTTGACCAGAATGGCTTCTAGAAATAGATTGTGTTCAAGCCCATGCCGCTCCCACACAGACATCATGATCCATGATTCCTAAGGTGAGACATGGATTCAACCAAGGTTTGTAACAAAGAACCCCATGAACCATAGAGAAAAACTGATTCATTGAGCCCAGGCAAAGCAGCCAACTTCATACGCGCCAGCCCAGCGGACAAAATGAGGGCCCGGGCTCAGAGTGTCTGGATCAGGTAGATCAGGTTCCCGTGGTGACATGCACGGACAGGCGCGGACAGGATCCAACAGGTGGTTGGGTACAAACACTTGTGAACCATGACCCCATAGGAGCACTTTCTTTGCCCATCCATGCACATCCTAAAGGGCAACATCTCACTTTGGGAGGATTTTGAAACATGCATTCAAGTTATCTGTTTGTTGCCCGGTTCATCGGGGTTCGAATGCCGTCCACTTCACATCATGGACTTCTTTGAGCCCTGAACCAGGCCAACATCCAGGCTATCAAGCCACACTCCAATGGATGGTTCCCAAGTCAATGCCATCTTGAAACGTTATAAAGTCATTGGAATCTGGTCCTTGACAAAAACATAGTTTTTTTCAAAATACCTGGTATTTCCATATCATCATGGAAAAAGATGGGTTTTGATTTCTCAACCCACAAATTTGTGGGTACAAGGTTCAGTAGGTATATATATATATATGTCTAATTATGTGATGGTCAGTCCTTTGCCTACCATGCCCAACGAAGACTCTTGATTAATCACCACCCTCATTTGGATTGAACAACCTTTGCATTTATGTCGGGGTTGATCAGTCATCAGTCTACATGACCTGGACTAATAAATCCTACAGGGCTCCAACTACCTGAGGTCTCGAAGGGGTCGAACTACCTGAGGAAATGGGCCAGAAGCCCTAAAGAAATGCTTGGTGTTGGCTGTTGGGCCAGTAGCAAGCAAGGATGCTACTAGGCCATTCCATACTAGGGCGGAGGCCATTCCATACTGGCAACAATACCTAGCGCTTCCAATGGGTGTCCAATGGTGACCTATAAGCAGTGTAGGGTTGTCCAGCCAGGTAACCCTGAAACGAAAGCAGCTGGTATATATATACTGATGTGAAATCTGCATCTAGCGGTCTTCCCACCTCTATCTCACCGGGCCTCCCAGGCTAACCTGGTCTTTTTTCTCAATTGGACATGAGGCAGTCCTCCGTCGCTCCAGGAAGTCCCACGAGTGCCCTGCGCCCTTGACGCAGCAGCAACGCCGCGCCGCCTCGCAGCGCCGACAGGCGGAACAGGAGAAGCTCCGCAGGCGCGGCACGGCACGGGCGGGTTCCGGCGGGGAAGCGTGGGCGCTTCGGGACAGGGAGTGCCAGAAAACAACGGATATCCGGTGAGGAGTGAAGCAAAAGAGGCATGAAAGGTAGGGCAAAATCAGGCTTAATCATCCGAGTTGGAAGATTTGGGAACTAATTGTTGGGAACTCTCTTGCTAAAGAGTTTCTTCTCAATCAGGCCGCCATGCCCAGACAATAGATCCCTGGAACCATCCTGGTCCTAAACATGCCATACATGGAGTTTTTGGGCACACTCGCTTGATGACTGCACTTCCTTATCAAAAATTACTCTACTTCGAGTGATCCCCACCATGACATGTCAATCTGACAAAATTTATGGCATGTATTGAAACATTATTTTGGGCATTCTTTCTGACATTACTTCTGACATGTTTCTGGCATATCTTCTGACATTCTCTCGCGTATCTTTTGACATTATTTCCAACATTATTTCCGGTATATCTTTTGACAGTCTTTCTGGCATCTCTTCTGACATTCATTCTTTGCATATCTGTTGGCAGCTTTGCTGGCATATCTTCTGACATTCTTTCTGGCGTTCTATCTGGAATATATCTTTTGACTCGCGTTTCTGGTACAACCCTTGCAGTTGAGGTCCGGCGGGGAACACTACCAGCCGAGGCTCGCGGTTCACCTGACAGGTGGGCAAAAACATACCTCCTCAGAAGGTACTTGGGAGTGTCTCCAAATAACCTTCTCAGAAGGTCCCGAGATTCAGCCGTGCGAGGTGGACACGGCGGAACGATGGACAGGCCGGCCGCCCCACCCCAACAACCGCCCTCACCGTGAAGCTCAGTCGTGCGTTCCCAACACAGACACATAATACAGACCTCCGAATAGATAGAAAAGTATAATTCTTCAACTTTTGCTCTCAGAGCCCGGTAGGGTCCACAGCAAGACTTAGGTATGCTGAAGGCTTGCCAGCCGAGACCGTGGAGGATGCAAAAGACGGCGACCCACGCGGCCGTTCCAGCGCGTCCGCGCCGCCGAACCGCGCACGGCCGCCGCTCTTGCCGAGCCTGGAGCGGCGGAAACCAGAGGACTGCGATGCAATGAGTGGCTTTGATCTTGAAGTTTCGCACGATTCCCCACAAGTGTATGATTGGCCTTGGATGTTCAAGGTTGAAAATGTTCCAATGCTCCGCCCTACGCGCTTGATCCTATTGTCCAGGAGAGCCGGGAGCGTGACACTGGGGCCCAAGCGAACCGCGAGGGCGGAAGCCGCGGCAGCCGCCGTGGAAGCCGCGGCCGCTCCAGCATTTCGCCCTCGCCCAGTGCAGCTGGGCCATGGTGATGGGTGGCCATGAATGCCAAGAAAGTGAATCACTGGAGTGGCTCTAGCTTAGCCATTTAAATGCTGGGTGTTAAAACTCACATGATCCATTCTTAGTAAACCTTGAACCGCCCTTTCAGATGCTTTCAATGGGTCACCAGCATGTGTTAAGGGTGTCCTTTTATGGAATTTAAGAGCGCACACTGAGTGATGAGTTCTCCCTCCACCTCGGGTCAGACGGTGTTGTCAAGAACTCAACTCGCACATTGAGTGGAACGGCATGAGTTTGTGAGTGTCGAACAAGAAAGAAACACTTGGATGGTTTGCATTGTTTCATTTGCAAAAACCATTCAGGGAGCTTGCCTGTACGGGAAAAGACGTTTATTCCAGACATCCTATTGTGACTTTCGCTGCGCATGTATCTGAAGCATGGCCCTAGTACAGGTGGCCTGGGCCGGGCCATGCTGGGCCCATTTGAGCCCTAAGTGACGAAAACGATTGATTCATGATAATTTCGGACTGACAGTTCTGAAGGGAGATTGGCATTGACTGAATCACTAAAATATCACCCTTAGAACATGTTTTGGACACCAGAAACGCAGAAAAAGGGACATATGGCACGTTGCAGCCCAGGTGGTCTCGCTGCCCGATATCGAGACGGGCCTGGTGGCGGGAAGCGCCCAGGTAGCGGTGGTCGGGCTCGCACCCGCGGGCCCTGCGAGCCCGACCCTGGAAGTGCTACCAGCACTGGAGGCGGAACTACCCGAAGCGGTCGAGGAGACCTGCCTTTCCAAACGAAGCGTTTGGGTCAACATGGAACCCGGCAGCCTTTTTGGGCCGGTCATCCGAAGAGAACTGATTTACCTGTTGATTACATCCAATCCTTTTATATACCCATGCATATATATATATATTAAGGTCAACACCTTGGTAGAGTTTTGTAACATTAGGATGCGTCCCCCAAAATTGGGGGACCCCCACAGACTGTAACCTGGGAAGAGCTTCAAAATCGAACAATCAACATAGGAATCCATAGTAATTATTGGACAGTTCATGACAGTTATATGTTATTTTTTTGTATCTTAAGTGTATTTAAACGCATATCAAAAGTTGAAAAAAACCTTTCAAGTGTGTTCAAATCGAAGGGTCTTCCTTTTTCGTTTGCAGAACACGTTGGGTAAGAATATCCGATATTTTTTAGCTTGCACGGTTTCCATCAGCCTACCGTAACGATGTTCAAAGGCCATATCACTGTTTGGCGAGGCCGGAGAGTGCATTCATGGTGTGTAAATGTGGCGTGCCAGTGCTGAGTTGCACGATTGGTGGTGATTCCAGTAGGGGGGTGTCCAACAAAAGACGTGCCGAAAACTACATGTACAGTGGAAAGTAAAAGTGGCAAATGAACGGAAAGTGCTGGCTATCTACGTCTCAGTTCCTTCCTCCATGAGGAAGGCCCGCAACCCTGTCATCATGATATTCGTGTGTGGTTCAAGAGGAGGTTTGTACTATATAAACGGGAACAGTCCATTCCGGTAAAGTCGTTCTCCTTTAAATTTAGACACAAAAGATCACAAAAGTCTGAAGTCGAGAACGCGAACTCAGTTGGAGTGGTCGATCGGTTGGCAACAGCATGCTAGTTCCATTCTGTCCCCCGAAAGAACCGGGCAATTGAACTCATGGGCTGACTCCTGCGACGCAGCTGGCCAGGAGTTGGCATCACCGAGCGTCGCCATGCAAGAGCCGGGCGCTTCGTGTGACATGTTTCACTCAGATCAGGTGGCAGAGAAGGCTGATGCAAGTTTAGCTGCATCGATTGGGTCAATGAACAGTGTATCAGGCTACGTGCAACTGGATGAGCCTGATGTGCACGTACGTATTCAATGTAGTGACGATGAATTTGCAGTCGAAATCAGAACTGATTAGCTTTAAAAAGGTGCACCTGAGGCAGCAGAATTTAACAGGGAGCCCAGAAAGTGCACAAAAACAGAAGTGCAGATGGGCCAGACCTGAACTGACAGACCAACCTTTTGCTTCCCAACTGACATAACATGTTTGCTGACTGAAACGGCAACTATTCATGGGTATATATAACTTCATGGGTATGAGAATGGACGATGGGAGCTAGTTCAGCCAAAAAGCATGGCCAAAGCCACTGAACTGCGAATTCAAAAACAATAAAAACCATCAAAGACCAAAACCACTGAACTGCGAATTCAAAAACAAAAAACCATCAAAGACCCAAGCCTGTCACAGGGAAAAACAGCGAGCCCAAGCCCAAAACCGTCAAGAAAGGGTCCGCACACCCCGTTTTTTTCCCTTGTGAACCATTCGAATCAGCTCGATCCTGCGCACACCGAGGATCGCGTCGATCGCCGGTGGACGGGCGAGGAGGAGCACCGGGAGACTGGAAGCCGATCCGTTGGGATTGGATGGGTCAACCATACGGTAGTGTTTTATGACATGGTAAGTGTTCAGTTAGAATGATGTTTTACATGGTATAGAAGTGTTTTTGGAAGCACGCATCAACCATGCAGTATAAGCTCGGAAGCCTTTCCTTTCGTAGGATTCGTGGCGCAACGAGTGTGGAGGTGCTCTGATGCACCATCCTGGGCCGGACAAGGGTGACGCGGCGTTTCGCCGTTTTCTGCTACTGCGATCCGCAGGATTGGATGCGACGTGCGGTCGCAGACAAGAATTTACAGGCCATGTTCAGACGCTTTGCAGAGGCGCTGGAGCGCAGAGACGAGACGAGACGAGCGTAAGAAAATGACCCCACACCATGGCACCATGTAGCCTGTTGATGAATAAACCCTCTTCAGTCCTGGAGATGTTATTCATGAGAGAGACTGCAGCACAGCCCGCCACGCACGGAATCATAGGCTCAGGGATGCTCAGGGAGATGCACCAAGTAGCCCTCTTGGAAGGGAACGTGAGGCCAAACGGAGCCTTTGAAACGTCGTTTGGGGATAAGCTCTTGAAATGTCCTATTCTGCCCGCTGCTGCACAAGTGAAAATTCAGATTTGTCTATATTACAGGGTATACCCAATAAGAAACATCAAGTGAATAGCCTTGTTTGGTCCAAACCGGTTTGCTCCAAAGAAATACGGTAATTTTTTGCAATATTATTAGCAGAAGAAAGTTACGGTGGGTTACGAGAAATGTGGGTTTCAAGGGTTGCCACATAGGAAGCGTGCAGCCTTGATATTGGGTATCATCGCATTGTTTCAATAATCAATAAACAAATGGATTGACATCATGTTGATAACGCTTGACCTCGGTTTCATACCGTGCGAAAGAAACGGTTGTGAAAGAAACGAAGAATCGGTGCATTGCCTCAGCCAGCTCATGCTCAACCTGTCCGTACTGCCAAATCCACATGTGCGTGCCAATAAATAATTGCGATGTAAAGGTTGTCAAGGATTGATTATAGAAGTGTGCATACGCCTGTCCCCATAGTATCTGGTAGTAGCAGGCAGCTGGGGCAGATTGATGACCATTTATGGTGCTGTTCGAGACCGATCTTGGCACCTCCATGTTTCAGATCCAAAAGTAACGCGCACAACAGGCCACGATCCGCCCGACATCGCCCCGACAGCTCACATCAGCTCCCCAGATGTATGTTGCCCGCAGGGTTTGAATCCACCTGCCAGCCAACCAGCCAACAGGCTCTCCCCCCCAAACGCGGGTTCATTTTAGGGTTCCCCAAATGCCAGACACTCCATGTAGTGTGGAATGTTGACCGACATTGATCCCCAAATCAACCACCCCTAATCTGATCGGGTCCAGACACTCCCCGCCTCGCTAGGCCTTGGATCAACAAAGCTCCTCGCAGGTGGGAACCGCCACTCATGGCGTGGGGAGGGCAGGGCCAGCGGGGGATGGGATTGAAATCTTAGGGTGTTGATGCAGGTGGTGCAGGATGGGAAGCATCCATGCCAGGATGGAAAGCACATGGAATGTTCGAAGTGCCTGGTTCCATCATTCTGCGTATCTCTTGAAGAGAGGGGGAACTTCAGGATGTGGGTTGTTTCTCTTATTGCACAGAGACATGAGCAGCCGGAGATTTGGGCGCCATTGGCACGTTCCCAATCCCCCTTGTCAGCCCTCAAAAGATGGGATCAATTGGCAGATCCCATGTCCATGTGGACTTTTGGTTCCCTTCAACTGCGAGAAAAAACACATATAAAATACACATGCCATTGGGCAACAGACAACAGGTGCTTTTGGCGCTAGAATGGAACCTGTGTTCAATTGTTCGGTATGTTAATTGTGGTATGTCAGGTCTATATAGTGGTTTATTGAGAATGACGCTGGCAGAATGCGTCAAGTTCATGACCTTGAGCATCAACGCGGACTCCCCCCAAAGCGGTTCCCCCCAAAACAAGGAAACAACACCGCCCACCGCAGACCAATCTGGAAACCGTGCCCTGCAGGGTTCCCTGCTGCTCCGCGGTGCTTTCCAATCTGTGATCGCCATGGTGTGGGCGGGGACTCCCGGTATTCAACCCGCGGGGGAGGACAGTGGGAGCAGGGTGGGGCGATGCGATCACACCATCCACCGGGGATTTCATTCAGCTTGTGTTGTTTGGTTCAATGAATGAATGAGATGGATTGTTGACTGCTCATTTGCATGATTGCATGTACATATACAATCACATACATATGCCGAATATATATATATATATATATACATTACATCACATTACATCACACACAGTACGTGTGATGATTTTGGATTGTGTTTGATGTGAACTGCACCGTGCGGCACTTGAAGTTTGCCGATCGCAATGATGCCACTGTTCCAGTGGTGGTTTCGCCTACGCACCGGCCTTGGCACCGTGCACTGCTGCAATGACTGCCCCATGGGTCCGAGAAGATCACGTGGACGGGAAGAGCTTTGGACCCAGGAGCGATTTTTCGGGGCCGAGTGAATGATACATCGGCTGAGAGCCATGCATTGCATGGGCCTGTCTGCGAGATTGAGGTCCTTTGATTGAGGTCCTTGATGCCTTTAGGACGGAGAGTGGAGGCAGTTGCTTCTCAACAGCTTCGAGTACTGTGGTAGGTGGATGAGCCGGGCTCCGCAGTCCTTTGCCCAAGCACCAAAAGGAGTTTGAAGGAATCCAAAGTTCCTTTAAACACTCCTTTGGGGTAATGAATGATAATATGAAAAATCGACCCGCAGATAGACAATGGCCCAGCCAGATGCGCCCTGGCCATTATGCCACTTGCAAAGACAGACTGGGGATTTACGTGAAGTAGTACTTGGCCAAGGGCAGATATGCAAACAAGTTTGTTGCCATCCCCCTAGTTTGCTCCCTTATAACATGCACCGGGGGTCATGTCATGTCATATAAAGCGACATATTGTTCTATGTTGAGACGATTCTCCAACATAACTACAACATGTTAATGAGAGCTATAAACAGTTGATCTTGGCCGCATCAAACTAAAATGTTGTTTGTGGTGGTCAGAGGGGCTTTATCAAACCCTGTTTGATCCTGGTAGATTCGTTTTATAGCAAAGAACTCGCCTGCCTTAAAGAAGGCACCCATGATATTATGTTATAAACATACAGTTCTGGAGTATTCATTGTCCAACAGTACATGGCTGACACGCTGACCATATATATATATATACTGAATTCAAGTGGCTCAAACATGATGGACAGAATTCTCCTTACTTGTCCATTTCTGAAACGCGAGATATACAGATGCCCTTTGTTAGTAGTAGCTTTAATGGTAACTCATGATGTTCAATGAAGTTCACGCTCGGTTTAGGACACCAAAAGGTTGAGAATACATCGGACGCCGGAGAGAGAGAGAGCTGTTGCGCGAGCCAATCCTGGACTCGTCATCCTGGCCAGATCCATCTATACATAATTATACATATCAATTTGCCTTATCTTTGTGTCCTTTGTTTTTCATGTTGTAAATCTGATCATAATGTGCCATTCAATCAAGCAACACATTCTTGTATCCTGCCTCAGTCATTTTACAACAGTGATGCTTTTTCATTGTACATAAGAACGTGCTTAGCAATTCATTTTATAAGGGATTTACCACGGGAAAAAAACAGTTACAAACAAGGGGGATATGTTGCCCAAATCTTTATCTCACGGCTTTTGTGCTTCATTCTATATTAACTATTTAACTGTGTAGGGTTGTGGGCTGTGCCAGGTGTCAGCAACATAGTGGTTTGCAGTTGTGCATCGGGCACACATTTAAGCAACTCGGACACCGAAGGCTGGCAGCTGATTGCTGGGACTGCACCACAAACACATCGTTCGAACATATGATTTGCTGTACAGCTCAACCAACTTGGTTTCGCTTGTGAACACTTTCTCCTGAAACACGTCCCACTTCCGTAAAACACTTCCGGGGCGATGCGACTGAAACACCCCCTCCGACCTGTTTGGTGCACCAGCTCTTCAGCGCTGATGGCACGGCAGCACTCCGAGGCACGGCAGCAGCTGTCGGTGGTCCTGGGCAGGCGGAACCTGCAGAACGAACGCCGCGACCGAAACGGTTGGCGGTTCAGCTGTGAGGGGAGCGGGTGCGGTCTTCGTTCACGGTCTTCGTTCACGGTCTTCGTTCACAAGAACAATAACATTGCAACTAGTAACTGGACCCACAAGGGGTGGTGAAATGGACACCCCGAATATCCCCGAATCACATCTAAGGAACTATAAATAGAAACCCCTGGCCTGGGGGTCCTGGTATTGGTACTGCTTGATCTTCAAAAACGGGCCCTGATCCACCGTCCGTTGGTCGTTGTCCTCCCCATGGGTTGAGTCGAGGCCCACCCATGGCACAGACTGGATCGTTCGTGTCGAAAGATCACCAAAGGGCTTGAATTTGTGTTTGTTCCAGTCTGACGAATAGCCAGTTATAGCCAGCTCGCTCACCGATTGCATATAATTGCAATATATATATATATATATCCCTCTTTGAATTTATCCCCTAGGAGTTGGTTAGACCCAAGTTCCGTAGAGAAGGGATCATTTTCTAGTCAGACATGCCCCCATATATTGCTGGAGCCCCACCGTTTTCTATAAAACAGCTTTCTAATGGATGATACAATCATTTGTTATACCATACCTTACCAATTCCTAGAGGACATTTGTAGCTGTCTTGTGCTTGAAAATACTGGGATACAACAATAGGTACCAGAGCACTTTCTAGACGTTTGGCATCGTTTGGCAAAACAGTAGCAAAACAGTAGCACTTGGGGTTGGCAAAGCGCTGCTGAAATCCGACAATCAAAATTATTGTCCTGAAAACTCGGGAGCAAAGATTGAGTGGAAAAGAAAAGTTTGCTGTGCCGTGTATGTATGTGCACGTCAAAAAATTGTATTAATAATTAATTAATATATTTAATTGCCAATATGATTGTAGCTGAATGTGGCTGATGGTATATGATTGTAATCAATTGTACATGATTGTACAATATTGTATAAGATCTTACGCTCTAGAAATACAATGGTTGCTTGATACATGTTCATCATGTTACTCAAAATCTCTAGGAAATTGTTATTTTAACATTCGGCCATCGATGAATCTTGTTCAAAAAATAACTTTCCATGGCAGCTCTAACCTGTACAAGACCTTTCCCTAGAGAGGCAACACATCATGAAGATAAGGTTTTGGTTTATCGCTTTTCTAGAATGCCTAGCATTTTCTAGACAGCGTTTTTACTTGGCCATAACCATTTACTAGACAAAAGTGAATGCCCCGTTTTTTCTAGTTTGAGAATGGTCCAAGTTCACCTTGAAATTCAAAGGGTACATATATATATATAAATATATTTGTTATTTATCTTATACCCTCAACTACTAGGGTCTAGAAAGGGTCCAATGTCATTGTAAACCCTTTGCAGGTGAGTAAAGTGACCCCGTGTAGTTGAGCTTGAACATTTGCGGCTTGGAACATTTGAGTGTTTCTTGTTTCCAGAAATCACAACTGATTGGAATATGAACAGAGATGCATATCACGAAAGATAGAACTCGCATGCTTTTGTTCGCGTCCTGAACTGAAGTCTTGAATCAAGTGTTGAACTGAAGTCTTGAATCAAGTGTTGAAATCTAAGCTAGATTTATCCTGTACTCCAGGAGGCGTAAGCGGTGGCGGTGAAAAGTTAAAAAGCGCGGAGTATATACAGAAAATAAGATCGGCCAGCGCAATTGGCAAGACCTCAACGCAAAGCCATTGGTACAAAGCTTGAATCCTGTAGCAATTTGACACATTCGAGAAAAATTACACACACAATCTCATTCAACCAAAAACTGAACCCTTGAAATACCCTCAACTACTTAGGGTTTGAAATCATGAGACCCCGGGGTCCTAGAGTCCAAGGAGTCCAAACAGTGCGTTTGACAGAGTTTACAGGTCTGAGGTGGTATTCCTGAAGTTTCGTGTAGGTAGACAAAACGGTAACGCCCTTGAAAAAACACATCCTATAGACCCCTTTCCCTTTGGTGTGTCTTATGGTTTCTTCAGTTCATCTTTCCAAAGAGTCCACACAGTGTGCTAGACCTAGAGTTTACAGGTCTGAGGTGGTATCTCTGAAGCTTCCACACGACCTTGCAAAAGTCTTCCAGCATAATGGCTGATGGCCTACGACCAGTGAAAAGATCTGAGACGGTTTTAGGGCAAGAGGCATTTTTCAAGAATCATTTGGAGTGAGGCCCATTCCATTTGGGGTAATTCTATGAGAAGGAATTGTGGAACTGGGAATTCATGTCGTAGAGAAAGTCGAAGTGGAGGGGTCTACGATGGTTTCATCCTTTGGTCAAAGGATTAAAGAAACGCGCGCCAATGCAGCTTTTTGGACCAGAACTATACAAGCATACCCTTGCTGACAACGAAAGAGAAGCTTGTGACAGGGAGCCCGAAGTCTAAGATGACAGTCTAAAATGGTTTTGAACCAGGGAGTCCATTTGGAGCAGAAACCAGTCCATTTAATCGAGCAGAAATCAGTCCAACAGTTGTGAAAATTGCAAAGATTGGCACTTGCCTCTCTTTAAGTCTTTTCACATGATCAAAATTTTACTGTTGTGCAACAGTCTATGATGGTTTTCAGCGAGGGAGCTTGTTTCAAGGATCGTTTGAAGATGGCGCCTTCAAACAAAAGACCCCACACCCTACTGGCCTGCACTCTCCGCAGCTTCACCACTGCGTCCTGGAGAATGACTGGACTGACACCATAAGATGCCCAGCAACGAGATTCCACATCTCTCTCATTCATGGGCTTTCCCACCCAAACATTTCCAAAGCATTTCTTTGACGCCCCAAGCCGAATGCAAGAAGAACTATCATCTGCCATAAACGGACCTGGCACACAGAAGTCACCTCCATAGCTGCCCCACTGCGACCTTGACAAACCAAATCCGTGGGGATTCACCTCGTACGCCCCTGTAAAGAGAGCAGAGGGCAACCATGGCAAAGCATGTGCAGAAAAAAAAACAAAACACGCTTATTACATGATGTGTTCATGGAGGGGTCTAGGATGGTAGAGAAGTCTTCAAAAGAAAGATCATAGACCCCTCCCGGAGTTCCTTCAGGAGAGGGTCTAACACCGTTTCACGCGTTGAAAAGCTCAATCCCTAGGGCCCTAGGCAGTTAGACCATCGACCCTTTGGGGTCTACAATCCCTTTGAAGGGTTTTATGTTTATAATATAAGTAAATTGTATTATATATACTCCAAAACTAGCCTTGGACTGCCGCTCTGGCGACTGCCAGGTTGCGTGGATACTTCCAGCCCTGGCTGCTGGGTTGGTGGCCAATGAGCAGCTACCCTTTGCTATCACCGGAAGATCCCTACTTCATGCAAGCCGTCGGGGACCTGGACCGAGCAGCCGTGTCGTCCAACAACGGCAGCGGCATTCCACGCAACTATGGGACATATAGACCTGGCCCAACCACCCCAGTACAGGTCAATATGGCAGTCCCAGACAGGTCATGTCGACTAGTGACGTGGTGCATCTGACCAGTCACCAACCGACGAATTCAGGAAATCCGCCTGCGAGTGATGATGTCGCAGCTGGATGCTCTCCGGGCGCAGGTGGGCTTGATAGACAATCGATGGCAAGAGTCGGCAAGAGAGCTTGCTTTAGCACATGAATCCCCCATGAGTCGCTGAATGTCCGACTTCTGAACATGCTTTTCAGGAGAGGGTGCGGTGAAATAGGATAATTACGGTTCACAACTTGGGTAGTATAGCAGCATGTTGTTGGAAATGGTGCCTTTTGCAAGAACCATTGTCGTTTTGGAGTCTCTAAGTGACCCTTTACGGGTCTAAGTGGTCTAAGTGACCTCATCCTGGGATATCTAAAGATCACTTTGAATTCCTGGACCATTCTTTCGATGAATGTTTTGAACTGTTTTGAATGTTCACGGTTCACTTTGTAAAGCGACCGAGCATTAGACAAAGCGTTCTGGCCCTTTTCGAACCAAATCCAGGACCCCGCAAGGTGCGGGGAGTTGTGTGAATTGGCCAGGAGCAGCAGCCCTCGGTCTACAAGCTCATGCAGGACTCGGAGTGGCTGGGACGGAATAGAGCGCCGTCGCGGGACTGGTGCGGAGCGATCATGACCAATCCTAATCCCCCCAAAAGAGTGGTGGCCATCATTGGCCAGGACTGTAGCCTCACTGAGGCGTGTACCACTACGTGACTAGGAGCCTTCATGTCATGGTCACCCCCTTTTGGTAGCTATAGTGACTAGCCCAGGTGTACATGCCAACCATCTCGAACATGTCCCAGAGCTGGCAAGTGGAAAGCTCACAGAGATAAGCGGTTTTTGCCAGTGTTTTGCCGTAGCACCTGAGAAGCCTCTTTTCTTTTACCAACACGGGGTTGTCCACTTCCATGTTTGTTGGAGGGAGAAACGGCACTTCCTTTGCACCACATGCAACATGTCGCATGCGCGCCCGGTCTACGCACACTGGGCCTTGCGGCCGTGCCCATGTCGTAGCGTGCCAAGGCCCAATTCAAAGCTCATCTCTTGGCAGGCTGCGTGGTGCAGCAGGATGACAATCACATCACCAGAATCCAATTTGACCAGGAAAAGACTGTGTCCTTGGCTCCGAAACAGCCCGGTTCTATATAACCCGAGGGCTCCAACCTCATCCTGAGAAGGCAGTTAGATCTCCCTAATCCACCCCAACCACCTTCGAAACGTATGTGGTTGGAGCCCAAAAGGATAAATAAGTCGCAGTCCCGAAGCATTGGCGTTTTCGAAGTCCGGAACCTCCAGCTTCTTGGCTGCCACGTGCCAAACTCGGCAGCGTGATAAAATCTGGGATTCAACCGTCCCAGACGCTCTATAAGGATCCAAGTACCTTCTCAGAAAGTGACTGGAGTTTGGAGGGTCCAAGTACCTTCTGAGAAGGCACTTGGATCCCTACAGGGATAGTATAATGATAGTATGGTATATGTATGCCTACATTGACCCGGGTCAACCCCAATGTATGTAAATATGCCAGTCCCGGTCATGTTTGGAATTGCATGCCTTGAGAAGACCGAACCACGCCAGGCACATTTGGCAGCATTTTTTGATCAACACACGTTTGTTCTTGAGAGGTGTTCTTACTGCTGGGCCTCCACTTGTTCGGCGCTCACCTTTGAAGCCTGAAAAAGCACTTAGATGCTGAAACTGGCATTTCCTGATCAGATGGCACTATTGAGCGCCACAAGAGTTTTTAAGTGGTTGTCAGCCCCAACAACATGTTCCCATCAATAAGTGGTCAACACATCAGCTTTCGGGATCACGTGCACGGACATGTGTAGACACCATGCAGGACCGACACATGCAACGCCAATGACCGTCTCTCCTTTTGGAGAGCACTGCTTTCGACTGACTGGTCGATGACTGACTGGTCGATGTCACCGTCGACCTGGTGAGTCGATCGCGAAAAAACTGGGGGAAACATGGTCTCACCAGGAAGGTCCATTGGTTCTCAGATTTTTTTTCAGGAATAGGTGTTGAATCGTTTGATCCATGTTTTTGTTTCATCCCCTTAACGAGGCCGTCGCCTCAACGGCGCTTCGGCCTCGTTCGGCGCTGAACGGCGCTTCGGCAGACACATTCGGACGGAGGCGCTGGCGGACTTGTTGGTGGTGCATCACCCAGGGACGGCGACAGGCGCCGTCGGACGCCGGAAACGAACGGTTTTGGGGAGGGGCGCATGCAGGGTTTTCTTTGAAGAGGTGGTGAAATGGACACCCCTGAACCTCTAAGGGGCTATCAATCAGACCCTTTTAGATCCTTTTTACATTGTATATAGGATTTTTGTTAGGGGCCCTCTTCGTGATGTCCAGTGATGGGACGGATCTTTGTGATTATTTGTTTATCCGTATTATATATTATACTGCAGACCCTGAAACGATGTCTTTTTGTCCGTCTCGCCAGAAAACATGACGCAGAAACATGCAGCAAATTCGCAATAGAAAACATGACGCCAAAATGACGCAGAAGTGACAAACAACAACGCAGAAGCAACAAACATCGACACCAAAACTGCATGTTTGTTGTGTTGGTTTTTTGAGCTTCGCCTGAAAATTGCCCTCACCAGAAAATAATACGTTTTTTTTTGCGGGGTCTAGGTATATACACTATTGAATTGGATCAACTCCGAATCAATTCCGATTTATCCCAGTTCCAAAATCAGATTAGGCACACGCTTGAAGTCAACTGCACTCAGTATAGACATGATGCGGAATTCACTAGAACACGCAAACACGCACGCCATATACAGTAAGATGTGGTGTCAAGTATTTGGTGGGACTGAATGAATAGCCGCTCAACACGTACAAAGCCAGTTCTCAATTCAACAGCCAGCAGCCAGCATGAATTCTGAATGGCCAAGGTCTCCCCAGTGATGAAGGGACTCTAAAACCAACAGCAGCCAGGCAGGCCCCGAAACCCAGCTCCGAAGACCATTCTGGAGCCGGTGGCCAAAGGCGTGGACCTGGGACGGGAACGGTTGTGGGACGGGAACGCACCGAGCTCGCTGTGTCAACGGGCCGGGCGCGCGGTCAGTGTGGGCTTGCCTGGGCGGAACCAGGGCCCAAAACGAGACGAGACTCATCGGTGATTCATCCGTCCAAGGCCAATAGAATGAAGGACAAGGTGTAGTAGAGGCACAGGAACTTGGAAAGGGGGTTGTTCCAACGACCTCCCCGGTCTATTAAGGATTATATACTCGGCTTTGCAGGGTCAAACTGTACCTGGTACACGCTTGATGCATTTTCAAGCCACGATGGCTATCAATCGTCCATGCACCCCATCTCGGCAGCACAGTCTCAGTCCGTCCTCCCCTTGCTAGCACGCCGTTTACCTTCTAATGATAGTGCCATTACGCTTGATAGACGATCTGCAACTTTACAACAGCCGTGCCCAGTGTAGCATCAACTGGGTTTCCAACTTCACATTCAAGTGCGCCAAAAACACAAGGTTCTCCCCAGTGGCATCCGGTGGCCCTGAAGGAAACCTCGAAAATACCGCAGATACATACGTACAACGTTTTGTCCGAACCCGTGAAAAGCCACAGCCTTCGATCAAGCGTGTGCCAGCTACTAGGACTTGAGGATTTACAACCAAAGGCGACAGAAATCAGGAGTTACAACCAGCATCTTGAGCAAGATGCAAGTTACAACATGTTACAACCAGCCCTTGTATATTCTTACACTTATTCTTATTCTGCTTTTGAGCTCTTGCAATGTAACGAAAACGAACGAAAGCATGTTTTTCATACCAGGACCCTCCATGGGGTGTCTATTTATAGCCCCTTAGCTGTTAAGGGGTGTCCATTAACGACCCCTTGGGGGTGCTGGTATGTTTTTGTTGCGATTTCCGCTCCTTCCTTCATGCCAGGCATTGTGCCCCTTGCACCCCACTTTGGCCGCGATGCGAGGCGGGGTACGGGTGCGGCGCTGCCACGAACTGGCTCCGACCGGTGGACCGGGTGGACACCGCCGTGTTGACCGTCAGAGCATTTCTTTGGACGTGAAGTTCGAAGTGACCAAAGAAGAGTGATGAAAAACGCCAGTCACATGGAGTTGGGTGGTTTGGTTCGTCCCATCCAGTGATCGATACGTGAGTGGATACCCCGACTTCCTCCAATAGGTGCCCGGACATGGAACTGGGGGCCTACAATTGTCCATTTTTGGACGGTGACCAGTGGGAGAACTATGTGCCCCTCCAGGTCTTCGATACCAGGATGTATTTGCCGGGCTTCTCAAAGGCTGAAAGGTCTCGAAGTGGTCAAGACGCACCAAATGTTGCCCAAATCTATTTGCTTCAGCCTCCTTTGTACTGCCTAAATGGCCTAAACTATATGCAAATCCTGAGTACGTAGGACGGGTAGCGCTGCAAGGATGGTCGAATAGACTGTGTTTTCCGGCATGTTCTTTACCAAACCCGGTCACCTCCGAGACCGTGTCGAACCAGCGCTGTTTGCTGGCAGCTGGGGTCCTGGTACATTCTCCAAGTTCCACATGTTGTTCGAACCTGCAGCCATCAGCTGCCATCATCACTGCCTGCATTTTCCCAGAGTTCTGGAAGTGGATCGTCATATCCTTCAGCCATCGAATCGCTGGAGAGGCAAAGGGCCTGGTCCGATCCCAATTGTGACGCGTTGGAGCGCGTCGGAGAGAAGAGGATGACGCGCGTCGTGCTTCAAGTTTAATATGACACTGACTATAGACACACGTCCAGTAAAATGATATAGTCTAATATGAGATGCGCAGCTTTCGAGCGAAACCTATTATGTTATAGAACCAGGAAAGCACGTTTTGTTGCGAACATGTTGTTATACATGACACGTTATGTTTCAGACAGCAGAAAGCAGTGATGACGAGCGGAGCCGGTTCAGCTCAGGCTGCTTCCCTTCAGTGGCTGCTGGGCGCCCCGAGGTATTGTGGCAAGTTTGACCTGGTGCTTAAGGTGATTATGTTTCATGTCAATGTGGGTGAATTTCCCTTCTGCTATATGTGTTTCCTTGTCATGTTCCTCCAGCATCTCTGATAAAGGATGATAAAGGTGATAATGGTGACCTCACTTCAGCTCGGTTTGTTTGTCAACTGCTTGTTCTTGGTTTGAATCACAGCATTCCCAACCCAAGACCATTGACCTATATGGACCACAATAGACCGACATCCCAAGCTAGACTACTTTTGCACATCTCAAACCGGCTGGCATGCAGGTGGAGATTGAATTAACCTCCCTATTACACAACCATGTTTCAGCTTGCAGACCCACTTCCATGATTCTCTCAGGGAGTGACTCCACTTGTCAGGATGCAACTCTAAGGCCTCGGATGTGGATTCCGCCTTATTTTTCCCCACCTGTCAGGTGAGGGTTGTTAGAGCTTTATGTGAGCTGCCGTCGTCCTCCTCCTGCGCCTCCTCGTCCTTCTTGTCCTCCGTGTCGGGCCTTCTTCATCCGACTGAACCGCTGTGCATCGACCTCAGGTGGTGACACCGCGGGTGGACCCATTCCATGGAGTTATGACTCCGGCAGTGAGAGCGCAGTGAGTTTCGGCACACCAGCGCCTGGGCACGCACCGGGTGTTGTTCATGCGGAGAAGAGATGGGAAGACTCCGACTCCGATTTTGGAGCTCCAACTCTTGGGCAGGCATACGTTGAGAAGTGCGTCTTATACTCCAACTCAGTTTCCAACTCGTAACATTGATATCCCGCTCCATGTCGAAGATGTTGACCAAACCGCCCCAGTCAGATGCCCGCTTGTCATGTTCGGGAGGCGACTGGTGACGGAGCTCGGCCCTGGGCGCCGGCAGTATCCATCGGGCATTGGAAAGACCCGCACAAAATAGGGTGCTCAGATTTGGGTGATTGTATATATATATATATACTCCAGAGGCGCAGGCTCCGATTCCACCTAACCTCCGCCGCGAACGTCGGCCTAGGTTCGCACCGTTTGTTCCGAGCGGGGCCGACGCGCCCCGGGCCCCGCCCGGCGACCGAGAGAGTCAGAGAGATCAGGCCTTTGGGAGTGGTGATCAGGCCGGATGGGATGGTTTGGGACGCTTTGGGTCGACTGCCTTTGCTGGAAGTGAGGAACCAAAAGAGGAAGGACCGATGGAATTGGCATGCAAAAGACATCCAAATTGATGACCATATATGCATGTCTAACATATTCTAAAATAATTTGAAGTTTCTGTTTGTTCGAAGTGTTCACTCTTTAAATGTTTATTTGCACCTGGAAAGAGCTGATTCCAAGCAACGCATGAGGTTTGTGGGTTTGCCCAGAGGATCGAGGCAAACCCACCAAAAAGCGGTCACCGTCCAGCAGTGGTTATCATGGCATATTTGACTCAAACCACAGACCGACCAAATGAAGTCCTGGTTATAGCGGTAACTGGGATCCTTTTGGGTGTTGTTTTGCTTTAAAGGGATGTTTGTTGACAGAGCCTTCTTGGCCCACATTGTACCTCCGCAACCATGTAGGATATAACCAGATTTCGGGGAGGGGGAGTGAATTGGTTGGGTGTTTCATGCCTTATACGGTCACCAGCAGCTGCAGGGTTTTTAACGGAACCAAGGATTCGTTGTCTGTTGGGAACCCCTTTGGAGTTAACCGTGATTTACTATAGGGTCACCATTTGCAGCTGTCCTGGACATGTTCGCGCTGGCGCAGCCAGAGAAGCTGCGGCGGCTGAAGGACCTGAAAACAGACCGCGGCTGAAGCGGACGGAGGGACGAGACTGCATGGAGATGTTTTCCAGCCTGTAAGGCTTACAGGAGTTTGATTTCTCAGGATGTAGTTGGAACTCTAGGGCTTATAGGATATGGATTCAGCCTGATCTTTTAGGCTTTTTTGTGCAGGCGCACCTGCAGTTGAGGGCCGTTTCTGGGGCGATCTCCCTCACTTTCCGCCGTTCCGGGGGCCAGGCCCACGTCGCATACCGCATACTCATTGATATACCTGTCATGTCAACGTTCCAAGCAGCTTGACCATGTCCAGTCAAGCACCGACAGCCTTGACAGGGAGACCCCTTTGAACCGAACCCAGGGAATCGGAACGCCTGGGAGGTCTGCTTGTTTTACTATGTTTTAATGCAACACACCCATCTAATCAGCTCCTGCCATGGCGAGAGCTGCTTCCCACTGCGATCGGCCTGGGTGCCTCAGGGAAAGCGGCGCTTTTTTCACACGCTCGAGCGATGCAATACATCCCTTCTGGTGAATCCCACTTCCAGATGACCTTCCAGTGAATCCTGGTGGGCGGATTCTTTGTTGAAGAACCTCAGATGGTTACATGAGTTGGGTCGACAGGGGGCTGGAAGGACCGGGCTTTGTACGCCTGCTTTGGGCTTTTGCCATCTTTTGCCATGTTGCATTCATGTTTCAATTGACCGGCAGCTTTCGTCACATGCTGCCAAGGATCATTCAGTGATCTATTAATGCAGGATGTGTTTGCCACACTTGGACTTGGACTGTCTCGCTCTTACTTTCAGATCTACATGATTTCCGGTTTGCCACGCCCCACTTTCTGGCTCATCAGTCATCATCCACTGGCATGAAAGAGACCTGAGCTCGGAATGTTGTTGTTTCTAGTTAATTCTAGATTTTCACCAAACAACAACAATTCTGTACAATTCTACATACCCGAGTGTCCCAGGTAATCCTAGGTATACTGCTTTTTGTGTTAGGCAATCCTGGATGCACCCGAAGGAATGCCGCCCCGTCCGAAGCCACACCTGTCGGAACTCGGGAAGGGGCTCATGTGCGGGCTGGTGGAGCTGGAAGATGAGGACAGGTCGACCTGTTTGCCACTAACGTCCAAGCTGGAGACTTGTTGAAGGGTGATAATTACTGGAGGTAGTTGGCCTGTAGCGCGGGAGTTTAGGTAGAGCCAGCTTTGTCTCATGAAGGGCCATGTTCCAAGATGTTCCAAGCGCTTTGGACATGCGACCGGCAGTTGCCAAATCCTGGACGTTCCTATAAACCTTGGAATTGTTTCGATAGACATACTGGGTGGCTCGACCAAGATAAGCATTGTAAACTCACATGTCAGCAGGAAATACTGAATGAATATGGATTGAGCTACTGTACTCGTTGATGAGGGAATTGAGAACGTATAGGGATGTATATAGGGTACAGTATTATAGGGTGCACCGGACAGACTTGTGATTGTGTGGGCCCAAGATCAACGTGTTTGCAGAGACAATTGCAGTATTCAGTTGTAATGTTTGGAAGTGGCCTAGGGCAGCAACCACTCCTCTTACGCCAACGCCAACCATGGCGGATTTGTTTAATTTTGCTTGCGTAGGCCAGTAAGTCAGAATGATGAAGGGAAAGGGTTGCTCAACAATTTACATCCTTAGACTTAGACATTGATTAGACCTTCATGATTTACATCTTGTATGTAGACGGTTAAAAACTATATACAATGTGGAAGAATCCGGACGTGCCCTCCAGTCACCAATGCGGGACCTGCCTTGCCTTCGTCCACCACCGCGTCGACGCGCGCAGAGTCGACACGTCCTCGTCCGATCTGGTCGATGCGTCGGATCCGACGCCCACTTCCTTTACCTTACATGTTCGATCGAAAGGCAGGCTTTGTGTGTTTTTTTTGGCCAGGGAGTGCATGTGTTATTGGCCAGTGTTGTGTTGCCTTTTCTTGAGCAGCTCATGCCCCTCAGGCGTTTTGCCTCAAGTTTTCAACCGTGACGTACCCCATGGCATTGACATGTGCCACCGACCGAACCCATTTTCTTGCGTTTTGCTACGCCGGCTGAGCCTGGTCGTTTTGCTACACCTGGTTATCCCAGCAGCCAGTGTCACTGATGAGTCTGTAAGCTTGCTGCAGATAAACCCGACGGATGCCTTGGTGACAGATCACACTGACGATACCTCCGTGAATGAAGCCATTGAAAGGCTGGCGGCACAGGTGCCAATCAAGCCACCGGGCATTGTGGGCAGGGCGACAAGGCCTGCCAAAATGTGAAGTGGGAGGTGGACGTTCGTGTATATACTGTAAATATATCAGATTTGTGTGTGTGTCTCGATGCTTGCCTCTTCCAACATTTGAGGTCAAAGGGAAAGCTTGGGCAAAGCCAAGTGGGAACACATGGCAAATATCGATGATGTTTTAAAGGCTCCCCTTGTTCCTGGTGGCAACCTTCCAGGACGCCGGCCAAACGCTCGCTGCGCTCGCTCCTATTTCCGCCCACATCCACTGCTCCCGGTTTCATCCTGTATGATGGAAGCTTTGGACTCGTCGTCCTGATTTAGCTTCGATGTGTCCGGTTTCGATGTCTTCGATGTTTTCCATCGATGTCTTTCGATGTCTTCGCGGGAATCGATCGACCAGTTGGGGCGCGGCCCGCCTGAGCCCAGGGGCGCGGCCCGCCCGCCTGAGCCCAGGAGTTGTGTCGTACGAAGATGAAGATGGCCGGGAGGAGCACCGGATGTTTGCGCCGCCTGCGCCGAGCTCATGGGCCGACCCAATGCCATTGCTGGTCGGTTCCTCAGAGGCCAGGTCTGAGTGTTGCTCCGCAGTCCAGGAGCTGAAACTGAATCCGAGCTCAGTGGAAACTCGTGTGAAACTGATCCATCTTCGCAGTCGGGAGGTCGGTTCAAGCCCCTCTTTCTAGGCACCTTGCGGAGGTGATCAGGTGCTTTGCCATCGTCGATGAAAGAGAGCAGGGCTGAAGAGAGACAGAGAGAGAGAGAGAGGGGGGGGAAACCCATTCGTGGCGCCGAACCTGAAGAGATGGTCAGAACCCACCGGCCAAGCCAGATCAACCACCATTTTTGGGGGGGGACGTGGCCCTTTGACTTCTGGAAGTCACTGGATTCAAATTGCCATACTTGGTCAGCATCGCCACTCGGAGCATTCCGCACGGCCCTGGCGTTAGCACAACTTATGGTTAGAGACCCTTTAAAGCTTTTGTTCTTCGAGAGATGAGGTTTTGATCCTGCTGGCTCTCAGCCCGATTGCGTACTACGATTTTCCAGCGTTTTTGGTCGTCACGTCCTACTTGGCCGCCCTCACATTCGTCCAGGCACTTAGGATCGGAACGGGATCCTACGGAGAAGCTTTTTGGAGCAGTCACGACAACAAATACACATGCTGTTTGGAATACGTCAGTACGCTGTTTCATTCCATTCCGTTGGGAAAGGTCCCACAGCATCGGATTGGTTCCGCCACCATCCTGGTGCTGCCTTCGTTTGTCTACCGGCACGGAGCTCGCAGGTTCGGTTGCAAGAAGTGATGGATGTGGGCTACCCACATCCAAACACCATCTTGGCCATGCACATGCTCGCGTTGTGCTCGGCGACTGGGCATAGAAAGACGAACCCGGGAGGTCGATGATCGAAGTGAAAAGAACATGCTAAAAGCAGATCTAGGCAGGCTAGAAAAACAGATGTAGAGGCAGAGGGTCTACATTGTGCCTGTTGTTGGTGAGGCTTTTTCATGGATTTGCATCACCCAAATATTTTTGCACTTGCTCCGGACCAGATGCAGGTGACCAGTCTCTTCGCGAAGCCCCGGAAGGAGGATGCCTTGCAGGTGCTGCCCATCTCCATGTTGAACGGGCTCTCACTCCTCACCAACAGCTCAGCCTTCTTGTTTGGATCAGTTGCCTTTGTTTCAATGATTGCAGCCAATGTGCCAATCGTGACCTTGGGCCTTGAGCAGATCAAAGAGAAGATACTCACAGTTTGCACAGAAGGCATTCACTTGGTGTGTTTAGGTAGATTCGGGAGTGTGTTTAGTTTAGGAGATTGTGGTGAACAAAACACTTTTCCCCTAGACTTCTGGATACTTATCCCTTCAAGATCGCGTTCTCATATGTTCTCCTGTTTGTGTTCATTGTCCTCAGGGCAAGAACGGCACGTGCATGCTCGCATGTTCATCATTTGTACCAAGGCCTGGTTGCAACTTTGCATGGCTCTTCTTCGTCGGATTGGTTTGCGCCGGCAGTGCGTGCTGCATCCAGGGCCCAGTCCATGTCTCCCTGGCGGCCTTCATTTTAGCTACGTTCAGTACCGTGCTACGAGCAGCACGATGCCTGTGGCAGCATGAGTTGGTCTCCAGACATTCTCCCTTGCATTTGGCTTTTTGGAATGGCTTTTGGTCTGGCAGCATCTCATTGTTGATTCTTTGGATGTGAATGGGTCAACTTCTTGCTATTTTTGTGGGGGGAGTACTTATGCCTGAGAACGCCATCTTTTGAGCGCTAGGTAGATCATAGTTGTTTTTTGGGAGATGCATCTTTGACTTGTGGTTCTTCAGTGCCCGCACTATGCCGCATCGTCGAGGATGATGCTGCTCAGTGAAGGCTTGGCAGGTTGGAGGAGCCTTTCAACGCTCAGTGCCGAAGCGCAGCTCCGGCTTTGGGGTTCCATTTTGTCCACCGTTTGTCTCTACATCGCCCAGTGGTTTGCGATGAAGGCTTTGGGGCCATTGATGGCCAGCACCTTGGTCGAAGTGCGCGGCTGGTGCCTGTTGTCATCCAATCAATTTGCATTTAGGGTCGGAAGAGGCATTAAGTTGTGGCACGCTTTGATGGTGACATTGTGAGTATAATTTCAGTCCACTTGGCAAAGACAGGCATTATTGGCAACTTGAATTTGCTCGTCGTCATTGCTCTATCAAATGAACGGCTGCACGAGCAATTCACTTGGGAGTTCCTTGCAGTGCAGTAAGATAATTTGGATAACCGGGGTTGGCTGGCACAAATGCAAAGTACAGTTGGATTGTCCTCTTTCCGTCGAAACATGTTCCGAGCATTGAGATGAGCTTATTCTTGCATCCTTCCCTTCCAATTTTGATGATACCCTCCAGAGCAACCCAGCAATCCTCTTGAACATGTATTCTGCATTGTTGGGAAATTGTTAGTTTTTAAGCCCCTGATTCAGCTCCTCGGCGCAGCTGCAAGGTTTCTGGGAGCGACGCTTTTGGCATCAGGCACATTTGCGAGCAGCATGTGCAGCGCTTTGCGCAACTGGGCTTCATGGTAGTCTTGAGTCTTGGATATCTTATCTTAGGTCTTGGCGAGTGTCTTTTTGTTGGTCGTTTCAGGCTGGGTGTCCATCCTGCGATCGACCACAACAGGGGGCTTCCAATTTTTTAGGCTAGCAGCTAGCACAATGATATACATGATATACTGCATCTCTAGAGCCACGGACAACATATAGAACAGCAAATTCGTCGCCCATGCCTCTTCCATTTGGACCACGTCACGATCCATCCGATTCGCAAGTCGACTTCGGTGAAGTCAACTTAGGCCCAGTGAAGGACGCGACGACGTGACGAGACACGAGGAGGACCAGACTCCTCCACCAGAAGCTCCTCGCGGACACGCTTTTGACCAAGCGAAGAAGACGAAAGGAAAGTGATAAGAATTTTGCTTTTGAATGCCCGTGGTCAAACCAGGGGTCAGATCATTTGATCATGTTTGAATCGATTTGAAATATTTGAACGAAAAGTCATTGGTTGGATCTGTGCTGTGCATGTGGATCATATTTTCAACTAGCCTTTGCTCGACTCGCTTACTGCTGGATCACCTTACCTTCGCTTACCTTGGACTGGCAAAAATGATGTGGCATGGGTTCGGGTTTTGGACAGCAAGGCAAATGGTAAAAAGTTGTTTTTTCCTCCCGCATTCGCGACTCTTGACTCTCGATTTGATCATGTTGTAAAGGCTAGGGAAACGTGGAAACGTGAAGGATTTTTTGAGGATTTTTGAAGGTGAGTAGAACATGTGACTTCCACATCTCCCTTTCACTTGGAGCGCCATTGCATGGACCTTTCGTTTTGGGTGGAGGAACCACTTGCCAAGACCCATGCTCGTACTTTCCAAAGTCCTTTCCAAGTTTCCAAGCTTCAGTGTTTCAAGTCAGGGGGCAGATGTCGAAGTCCAGTCACTGCCCTGCCTTGAATGGAAGATGGTCGACGGCCTCAAAGATTTATAATGCCCAAACACTCCATGCACTGTATGGCATATTTACCTACGTTTGGGTGGATTCAGGGGCGATGTAGATAAATATGCCACAGTTGATTTGCCACGGCCGCCGCCGGTCGCGCCCAAGCGCTAGGAGAGCTGGAAACGCCCGCCTCTTGAAGCATTGGGAGGGGGGAACATGGTAACAGGGTCGGGTCTGAAGAGGGGAATTTGAATGACAGGTGGTGAACCTAGGGCTGACCCACCCGCTTGGCTTCGTTCAATACCCAAAACCGAAAGCTACGCCCTTTCGCACCCAATGGGTACAGTGCACGGTTGAGGTTCGATGGCGACCTCGTTCGATGTGTTCTAAAAGAAGGCCGACCTTGGAGGCCCTTGTTGCCGACCTCAGTCCTCTCAATCCATCTCAATCCACGGCCTGGCCATGGAGGACATGGGTCGACTCCCTCCCTTCGACCCGTCCCAGGTAGACTCCGGAGCCAGAGGCGCCTCCAGAGGCGCCTCCGGCGCACCGGAAGCGAGAGCGCGGGGAAGCCCCCCCGGTGGTTTCGCGTGGCATTTGGTGGCCGTCAGAGGCGTAAAAAGAGGGTCTTTACATTGACCCCCCAAATATTTAGGTAAATCTACCAGTCCCAGACAGGTCGTGTTTGGGAATGGAACCCGGATCGGATGTGTTTCTCTCCTTGCGCTTGGATTTCTCACAGCTTCGATTCCCATCGGTTGGTGGATTTGATTAATTATATAGATGTGCAGGTGTCTTTTTATCCTCCCCGTCCTCCCTGACTTCTGCTCAGGGAAGGCTGCTCGTTTTGAGAGGTGGCTGTGAAAACGCATGCTTCGGACATACTATATATATTATGATAGTAGGCCTCCCCCTTGAGGACTGACCACAGCCGTTTCACCTGATGGCACTATACCAGGACCATCCGTTCGGGGTGCCTAGTGCACGCCGAATGTGCGGTCTATTGGACACCCCGAACGGGTGCTCCTCGTAGTTGTTACTCATACATGGCATCCTCAACATCTGTGACTTGGTGTCGTTGAAGATGTATTTCTTCCACACAGCAACGCACCATTGATGCGCTTTGCCAAGGTGGCATCTTTGCGTTGTTCTCCAAATCGCCCACAACTCCATCATGCAGTCATTTGATGTCAGATGGACTGCATGGGTTTGGACGATGTTTCGGCCCAAGAGATGTTGCGCCACATCGAGCTGCACCACACGCGTGGATCCGCCGCGACTTGCCCTTTGATTTGAGGTCCGCGTCGGTGTCTCCCCATGGCCTGCCCGATTTGCAGTGCGCACGATGCCTCGCCCTCCCGACGGCAAAGCTTCTTACGCCGCGGGATCGGGGCGCGGTCGCGTCGCCGCGTGGTCGCCATCGGCGTCGCATGCCTGGTGATGGGCACCTGGGTGGCCAGCCTTTTCGCTTCAGCATGGTGTGGTGGCTCACTGGTGTCAGCTCATAGTCGGGAGCTGAGGTGACTGAAACGCATGGCATGCCTCGTTCCGAGGCCCTTGAAGATCTTGGAATTTGTAATACTTGTCCAGATGCTGAGAAGTGCCCTAGAAGTCACCCGGACCTTTGCGTTCCAAGATGCACATATCGATCTGTATGGTACTTATTGGTACGTTATATCTGTATAGTCAAATCCCCCTGCATGGATCTCTTCTATGCCGAACTTTCCGAGTGCTGCATCCAGACACCTCAGGTTCCAGACAGCTCCAGATGAACGCCAAAAAGTCCCGATCTCGCAGCCGCAGCAAGACTGGGACCACTCCCAGGACGACTGGGACCAGGACGAGGACGAGCACTTCAAGCCCGAAGACGAAGCAGACGAAGCCCCCAGACGCTTGGAGGAACCCCCTATTCATTATCTTGGGCCAACGTGTTTCCAGAAGAAGATCGAAGGGTGGAGTCTAAGATGTCAAAGGTCGAGGGGATGTTCTGACAGACCTTGCGTTGCAGTGGGGCAAGTGGAGCAGTCTTTGGGGTAGGCTCCCCAGTGAACATCCTCCAAAATCACAAGAAGATTGGAGACTGACTGGAGAGATCCTGCAGAGCAGGTGATCCTGTGCAGAGGACCGTTTGCAATGGCAATGCCATGAAGAAAAGCCACAGTTAACTCATACTCCCCCGCTGAAACCGGAGAAACACCATGGAACCCCAAAACGACTGGGGCAGACCCAAACCGGGTCGAAAACGACGACAAAACGACCCAAACCGGTCGAAACCGTCCATTCGACCGGAGGGTCCCATGTGATCGGTCGGCCGAGGCGCCTTCTTCGGAGCCTGAAGGGGCGGAGGTCTTCGATCCGCTCGAATCAGAGCCTCGGTGTGGCGGTGTGGCGGTGTGGTGAAGAGGGTGGCGGGTGAAGAAGAGCCGAGAAGAGCAAGTTTTGCAGTCTATATACAGTCTACAGAGACAAGTCATGAAGTGGATGAGAAGTGAGAAGTGATGAGAAGTCACCCAAGGAAGGTGGTGGCTTGAACAAGCGACACAAGCGGCTTAGTTCACTGGTTGGTTGGGATCTTCTATATTACAAGATTTTACATGTGATTTAAACATACTATGGTACATCCCTGTCACTTCAGACGACCATCATACAGTACATTTCATGCTATTGCCAAAAGAGGCTCGGCCCTCCGTTTGGCAGGCTGAACATGGTTGAAGCAATCTCACTTTGTTTGGACATTTGCTTGTTTTGGTGAGTTTGGGTGTTGACAAGCTAATCTTATGAGTTGTTATTTTATGGAACTTTGCGGGGCGGTCTTCCAGCAAGGGGTGCAATTTCTTCGAGGAGGGGTGGGGATGGGTGGGGTGACCATTGATGCTCGTGGCCTGGGCAGGTGTCGTCAACAGCCAGCCCTCCAGGGCTATCATTGAAGCGGTGACTCCTGCAACCCAAAAATTGGTTTCAGGGAGTGACCCAACACGGATCAACACGGTATTATTAAACAATGGGGGCCCACCACTAAAGCACCTCACATGGGGTGCCAGTGCCATCTACTCTGAGACCACTGTACAGAGTGACAGGGATGTTTGCCATTTGTTTATGTTTTGGCTCGACCTTATGCCAGGATGAGGATCGAGAGTTTCGCGAACGCTACCTCTCTGCCGACAAGGAGACCGAGCCGGATTGGAAGCAGAAGATGGACCAAGCAAAGACCAAGGAGGACCGTTTTAAGGTTGGTTTGCAAGTGGGCGATTTCAAGACCAGACTCTTGGGCTGAAGGAGATATGTTGATAGCATCCTGCCTGGAGCTACCAATCATCACCAATCCAAGTTGAGGTCAAACAGATTATTCACAGATGAATCCAATGTGTAATGGTGGCCGTTGATGATAAGAACACCCTCCTACCAGAACGGATGATCTGGTTTTACATCTTGAGTTTAATCATCAGCCGACCATACTCCCAAAAACTAATTCATTTAGAATCATTTAGATAATTGTCTCTCTCAGATTCTCTCAGATCATATCTGATCATATCAGATCTGGGACATTCCGCTGAGTGTCGACCTCCCTAAGGGATTCTGATGTGCCGTCGAATCCTTCGATGTGTCGTTTCAACTGGTCGACACGGGCTGTGGGTCGACACGGTGGGTACCTTCGCTGCTTTCGAAGGATGAGCGGAAAAGACATGGATCTACGACCCAGCCCAAGAAACCAGATGGTTTTCACTGTAGAAACCGAGGGCGACAAGGATGGCATAGGGATGGGTGATGGATGGTGCTTTCTCTCTTTTCACTCAGCCTTCTGGTCTTTCGTGCTCCATTCCGGGACTGAGGCTATTCCATCCTGGCGGAGGAGCTTCTGGGCAGCTTCGTGGATGGCGACAAGGATCGGCTTGACCAGTTCCTGACGAAGGCAGGCATCGTGGCTCGGCGCCGATCACCCCACGGCCGATGCCGCGGGAGACGGGGACCCGGTCCGAACCCGGACTCCCAGGACGGTCGGACGGACGCCTGGTGTGACTGGGAACATCGGAACGTTGTTTGAAAAACCTCCTTTTCGGACGGGGTGAAAAATCTCCTCTCATGAGTGACATGAATTGTTGATTTCGCTACCTGTTTTTTAATCGAATCATGGTAATTAATGCTGGAGCTGTTCATTGTTGTTGTTGTTGTTGTTGTTGTCGTCGTCGTCGTCGTCGTGATTGTTGGTTGTTGGTGGTTTTTTTTGTTGTTGTTTTTGTTTTCTGTTGTAGTTTGTTTGTTGTTTGTGGTTGTTCGTTGTGGTAGTAGTTGTTGTTGTTGTTGTTGTTGTGGTTGTTGTTGGTGTTGGTCTTGGTCTTGCTCTTGTTGCTCTTGTTCTTCTTGTTGTTTTTGTTCTTGTTGGTTGGTTGGTGGGTTGGTGGGTTGGGTTGGTTGGGTTGGTTGGGTGGGTTGGTTGGTTGGTTGGTTGGTTGGTTTTATAAATATATGTCCGCTCGTTCGAACAAGTCTTCAAGTTGGTGGGTGGAGTAGTAAGCCCAGATGAGCGCCCTAGCTCTACTCGCTGAGTAGCTCGCTGGTGAGACACCGAGGCACAATGGCAGCTTTTGCTGGTCCAGTTGGTTGTCATCGGAGTGCCGTTGGCTGTCATCACCTATTTGTTTGGCCTTTGGACATTCTAGATGCGATTGAAACATGTCGAAGTTCAGACGCGGAACGTGAATGAAAACTTGCGCGAGGGAGAGGGAGGGAGGCCAGGGTGAGCTTGGGATGGACAGCCAATGATAGCTCTTAGAGTCGTACCGCTGGCAGCTAGTGGCTAGCTATATGTTAATAGGCCCTCACAAGGTACTTGGACCCTCCAAACCTAGTTACATAACAGGTTCGGTACGATTGGATCCCTAGGAAGGTATATTGATGTGTCAATGATTTGTTGCGATGACAGCTTCGGATCGCTTCGGGTCGTGGCCTTCCCGGTGACACCCCAAGGACAGCATCGCTTCAATCCGAACAAAATGACCCAAGTGACACCTGTCCCAGGTGCAGGTGCGAACGAATAACTTGTCATTATACAGTTTTGCATTATAAGGAAGAGCTTCTCATTTCGAGGTCGTACTTGAAGAATCTTGAAGAGTGATGGAAGCGCAAGCTCGACAAACGCTCGACTAAGACGTGTCCTTGGATGAAATGAGACCCAGTCTGTGGAAATCAGCCAAACTCTAAAGCCGACATCAATGCCCCACCCATTGAGTATATAGTTGCCATGGAACTCACACCTGCCAGGTTTTAGCAGTTCAATGACTGCACAAGAATTTCTCAACCATGCACGGACCAATCTAGTGCTTCTGACTTGAGATCCGGATGACGGGCTTGAGGGGCAAAACGAGACAAACACAATCAAAAACCCTAATGCAAACCAACCCTGTGGTTTTGGGTCTCCATGTGGTCCGAATAGGGGAGTAACGCCCCCCCGGGTTCCAGTGAGACAGTCCAGTGCGTTGTGATTTCCCTTTCGCTCACCAGCCAGGTGATGTCATGACCTTCGACGCCTGCGCGTGAGGAACCGGCGGTGTTCTGTGCCAAGGAACCGGTCGAAGATGGGTTTCGCCATCGCTCGATCTCTTGGCTTATCTGAGGCTTATCTTGGCCTATTTGACTTGCTCAATAAATGTTCTTAGCCTGCCTCTTGGCTTATCTTGTTCTTTGTCTTGCTCAATTCATCGAAATCGTGTGTTCTCCTTGTTTCATCCTGACGGTCTTTGGCCCGAAATTGCTGGCCTCCCTCACTCCGTGCCTTCACATCTCCAGCTCCGAACCTCGTGCCTTCACTCGTTGGCAGTTGCAGAGTGGTCGTTCACTGTTGGGGTGGGGGTGATGTGCTCCGCTACTCTGTGGTTCAGCTGAATCGACCTCCATGGATCCCCCAGTTGTGTCTTCCCCCTCCCAGGGGCCCTCCGTACCTGTGAAGTGTCGCGATGCCGTCATCTCGGACCATTCGTGGTGCTTGGGTGCTTGGCATGTTTTAGCCAAGCAAACGACCCATGTCTCATTGTTGGAGAATCCTTGCACTGGAAGAGGTGCAGGGCTGTCACATGCGTCCCATTTCAATGGATGCTCAGGATTCATGACGGATTCTCAACAGACCTTTCGAGCTGCACCATCCGGTTCTTTTGGGATTGGTTGTTTCGACGTAGATTTGCAATTTTTTTCCTAGCATGTGTATATAATCCCGAATTCCCATGACTCCGAGTTTGGTGGGCTTTTCAACCAGCACACAGCTTTCTATCTCAGCAAAAGCTGCGAACTCCGTTGAACTCTCCAACTTGAACGTACGTGGAACAGGCCAATCAATTTCCAAACTCGAACAGAAGGCTTGTGCTTGATACAAATTCAATCTTGTTGTTTTTGTATGTTTGAAGATGTTCACACACGCGCAACTGATTTATTTCGCTTGGATCATGAGATTTTGCTTTGTTGGTATGTATGTTCGTGATATTAATATGTTCGTGTATTGTTTGTCTTTTCGTTCCCATCTCATTTGATTTTGCTGTATCTTCCTACATGGCATCCCCTGTTAGTTCTTCTCCTCTTACTTGCCTTTCACCCAAGCTCCACCAAGATACGGCGGCCCTGAGGGTGCACGAGCACTTGGTTTTCCTTGTGATCCTTGAAGACTTGCTGCATCTGGCTCCCGGATCATGTATAATTACTCAGAATTGGCGCCAGGGCAGTGCCAACATGGGCACTTGCCTTTACCAAAACCTGAAGCCTGCATGATTGAACAGTTGCGAAAAGAGTGTGCAAGCAGAACAGGTGCGAGTCGGACATGATCTTGTACTGTTCGTTGGTTCCACGTAGCGGTCTGGACTTAGTCGTACAATCTGTGAGTTTTCTCAACGGTTTAAGTTTTGATGTTATACCAGGGGTCACAAAGGGGTGGTTTTTAGTCCCTAAGTGAGTTGATCATGGGCACCCCTATCCTCCAATAGGCCGAAAATGGCCGCATCGGAGGTTGGCACTTGTCTCTCCACATGGCCATTGGATGCAGAGGACACAGGGGACAGTGACTTTCCACAGTCACTGGCCAGTGCCTTGATGGTTTGAATCGATGGGCGTTCCTCGCAGCAGCCTCTTTTTTTTGGCTTTTGTAGTTGAAGGTCAGTGAGGTGTAAGACCCCGACAGCACCCTTTGGCATTCCGCGGATGGAAATGGCCAAGCCCTTTTTGAAGCTCACGCCACTCGGAAATGGACATCATAGCACTGACAGGAGAAGCCAGTCTCCGAGCCGGAAGTTATCATGGAACGTATTGATGTCAAAAGTTAGTTCGTTACTCAACACTCCTACCGTTCAGAATCTGGGGTTTCAATCCGAGGTACCGCAAGACGTTCATTGACTGCGAACTCGAGGAGCAACCAAGCAAGACTCCACTGGAGCTTAAACGTTCGGTGAGCTTGCCATCCATCGAGCTCACCAGGTCAGAGGACGAATGCCATGAAGCTTGGATGATAGAGAGCCGCTTGAGACATGAGCTGTTCAAAAAGCTGGTTGGGCTAGGTGTTGAAAAAGGTTTGGGAACGGATTGAATGGATGATTTTTTGGGATGCCAGGGTTTCTTCTCCACCCAGATCCTTTATTCCACTAAACTACATGCACAGGACCACACAATGTAGGCAATTGCAGGCATGTTTGTTCGGGAAAGTGTGAACAAAATTGGTGTGATTATGCATGATATTGATTATGTGTGATTTCTTAGTTCTTCCAAGTGACCCAACTGAAGGGCCTTAGTTTGGGGTCAGATGAACCTAGCTCACCCTGCGAACTTGACATCTATATGTGTCCTTGTTCGTAGCGATGGCCTCCGATAATAGTGATGGCCTCCGCCGTTCGTAGCGTCCTTGCTCCTAGTAGCAAGGCCTGGAGCCCCGTTCGTAGCGAGCGTCCTTTCCGCTCCGTTCGAGTCGCGATGTCCTTTCCGCTCCGTTCGTAGCGTCCTTGTTACTTCGTCTTCGTCTCAGGAAGCGACTTACTTGAACCATCTCACGCATAAGCTGTCGGAGGCGACGCGCACGACACGTCGGACGCTGTCGCAACGCTGGGACGCTCAAATCAAAGGCAGATCCTCTCCAGAAATGAGGTCATGGGCCAGTTAGGAGCGCGAACGCATGCCGTTTCTGGCCGTTTCATCTCGGATGAACAGACTGGACGTGTCCATTTTGGAGGACAAGGACTTGGTTGCAGTCTGGGGGATGGTCCAGCGCTTTGTTTTGGGGGGTTTCTGGAGTTGGACTGCCACGCTTCCACACGCCAGAGACGGACATTCTCCACACGCCTCCACCGACTCGGTCGTTCATGTCCCACGGATCTAACGAAGGCTGCTCCTATGTCTCGGTCGAATGTATAACTCCTTTTGACCAGGTTTGGTAGTTTCCTCTGGAGCTCCAGAAGCCAGATGGCCACTTCTGAACACAGATGGCCTGCCAGCTCTTTGAGCTGCCAGCCGATGAGAACTTGTACAGACCGAGCTCGCAGGAGAAATCGGATTGGTCTGGCAGCCCCACCTCGACCGTGAGCACCGCAACTCGGTTTGGGAGCGAAGCTGGGTGCGGTCCAGGGTGTTTAGTCCCGATGCTTCCCATGAGACACTGGGTACACGTTGTGATGTTGCCTGTTTCTGTGGTGAAAAACCGAAAAGACTAACACGGTTCTTTGGTGAAGCCCATTGTAACCGAGCCCAATTCAACTAGCTGTTTCAACATCGAAGAGAATTGGAAGAGCCGTGTTGGTTGCGAGGTTTTGGTTGGCTTTTCTTGCATCCCCAGACGCTCATGGACCGGGGTCCGGACCGTTTTCGGGACCGTTTGAGGGCTGGTTTCACGGAGCGTTTGGGTCGGCGGCTCGGACCCCAACACCGAGCGGTGGAGGTCGGACCACGTGAAGGAGGTCGGCTTGTTGACCTCCTTCTGTCAAGTTAGGAGAGATTGGGACACAAACACACACACACACACTCTGACAATTGTATTCAGTTAACTCAGTTCCCAAGTTGAGAAGGATGGCGGTGGAACAGCATGGCGAAAAGTCCGAGAAAATTGTAGGTGTTTGAACAAAGGTTGTTTCCCTTGACTGCGGCGACAAGCTGCAAAAAACCGCGGCTGCTGAGAGTGGCTGAGAAACCTGTTTAGGGGTGGAAACATGAAGAACCATAAAAGAAGAATCCCATGTCACGATACAGTGACGAGGACCCACATTTCAAGTCGTTGATTGCCTGGCACGCAAAGCTTAAAAGCACACAATCCTTTTGTGCGGGTAGGAGACACTCCCGATGGAAGTGAACGGCCCACTCCAAGTGGTCCGATCAACGGATCCGCAGGGGTCACGTGAGCTCCGGGGGTGGTTTGGCTCGTCCCATCCAGTGAGTTGATGTGACGACGGGGCACCTTGCTATCTTTGGGGTCACAAGTTCGGCACCCCGTCTTGTGCCTGGTATAGATCCTTTCCCTGCGAAACCCTCATTGCATTTGATCATTCTCTTTGTTTGGTTGTTTTATGTTGTTTTCAAGACATCACCCTCCTCACCATCCGAAGAAGCACGAGGCCTGCGACTCTGATGAAGTGACTCCGTGCCACGAGATCGAGATGCCGCCCTTTGGACGGGGGTCAAGACGGAGACCCCGCGGGAGACCCGCGGAACGCCGAGACACCCGGGTGGTCAGAGACCCTGCTGAGACCCATAGAGAGGACCCAACATCCAACAACCCTGATCAAACCTGGAACTGGTAGGTCCACCGACTCTGACTAGTTATGGGGTCGAAGGTGCAGCCCTGGACGGGTCATCAGGTATCAACCGTATCAATCCATTGCTAAGAGGGCCCAAGCCAGAGGAGAGACCTTTGAGGTGGCATCATATTCATATATTCATATATATATATGTTATATAATATGCATGTACATTATATAAAAGATACTGCACGTTGTGACCAGGTTATTAAGAGTGGGTATGAATGCGGGCTTTGTGGGGATTGGGGACCCCTGAGAGAAACAAAAAAACAACACGATTTCTGCATAGTTCTCACAACCATTTAGTGAAGGATTTAGACACAGCATCACCATATTCATAAGGGATTTCTAGCGTGCTTTGATGTGGTTCTGTGATTTTTAAGGGGGTTCTCAGTTATATACCGTTGCCGCGTCCCGAGGTCATCGCCGAAATTGGCCTTCCAATTGTTGCCGAGCCCAGGGACCCTGGGACATCCAGAAGCAGCTGGGCGGGAACACTGCGGTCATCGGATCGGACGTCAAAGACCCGGTGAATTCGCTTCACCCATGCGCACACCCATGCTCTACATGCTCGGGACTGTTAGACGCTAGACCATTGGGGAAAGGGGCTCACGGCTCTGCAGGTTCGCTCTTTTTCAGGGTCGTGTCTCCTAAGACTCGGACTATGAGGAGGAGGGGCTGTTGGGAGTGGGAAATGCGGCACCGGCACGAGGTCTTTCCCTCTCGGCCTGAGGTGTGCCGTCGTCCTTGTATGCATTTCCAGATTGGGCATTGTGACAACGGAAGCTCCTGCAACTTTTGTCACGAAGCTCATCCACACAAGACAGCCAAGCTGGACAAGAAGCAGCTCGGATGGAGGGCGGACTTCGTGCGCCAGCTGCTCCGCCCCACCGGGGCGAACCCCAGCTCCCTCCAAAGAAAATAAGGACTTCAAGCAAGACCTAGCTGCTTGTTGCAGGAGTGGAATCAATGATGTTCCAGACCTCAAGTATAAGGACCAGACCTCAAGTACAAGGACCATGGTGGGCCCAAGAAGGCATCCGGACCCCCCAACTCAGCCAATAAGTCTGTTCACATGGTGCATGGTCACGTTGGCAGTTGGCAACATAGTAGAGACAATTCTTGCTGAAGAGTCTGATCGGACCTGGATTGCAGTACGAGGGAATGTTTGTTTGTTTGTTTGGTCGATTGATTGACCGACTGATTGTTTCCATGGGGCCGTTGCCACTTCCGCGAGGCCCTTCGAAAACGTTGGGTCAAGCTCCTTAGTCTTCACAAATGGAAAAGCAGTAAGTCCGAGGCAGCGGCTGCTCCTGCAATCACTGAAGATCCAAGAGTGCCTTGGAATGGGATCGGGACCCATTGTCTCGTTTATCTCCCAGAAGAGAGCTGAGATCACGGCCGTTCTTGTTTGGCCCCTTGCTTCCGTAATTTATGTGCCAGCAATATACTGCCATTGAGATCCTAAAGGCATCCCACTTCTGGAGAATCCTTGGGCTAGGATGGGCCGGTTTTATTTCCTTAGGCTCCTGTTTTCTGAGCCAATCCCAAGGTTCACTGCGCTGATTGCACAAGAAGTGAGGGAACGGCCAAATTCAGGTGCGATGGGAACGGCCAGCAAGCTGACATTCGGAAGCTCCAGGTTCATTATGCTTCATTGAGTGCCTACAACAGGGTGACAGGCAACAGTGACTTTATAGCGAAGATTGGTTTCCTTTACAATTCATGCGTTTGCAGCTTCAATCTTCACATGAAGAACACTTGGTGACTGGAACTTGGCACTGGAAGCAGCGTGCACAACAAATCCGTCCAAGTTGGGTGATTTATCCTCAGCCATGAAGCACACCCAGATGCACCAACATGCACCATCAGGGCTCCAGCGATTGAATTAGTCGCGCGCATGAAGAATCATAACCATACTTTTCTTTGGAGACTGTACATTGTGTTTGGACACTGTGCATATATATATATATACACATACATACATATTATGTAAGAGTTTGTTTGGACACGGTGCACATTTGAGCATAAATAAAATATATACTTATTAGTATAGTGTTTTCAGTTCACTGGAGGTTTTCATGTTGGGTTCATCAATGTTGGATCCTGTGGTGTAGCGTGATGTCCTCAGAGTTGGATATCATATATAGAGTTGTAGCAGATGCTGAGTCTGTTAGCATGTCATGACGCAATGATTCCAGATGCGCTCTTCAGCCGCTAGCACCAAACCAGTCACCAAACCTATCCATCAAGGCGCAGAGTATGCTGGTAGATACTTGCTACAGTCAAAGTGTCCCATGCGCTTCCAACCATCGGCCGATCCGTGAACGGCGCTGCGTCTCGAAGCCGCCACCGGAGCCGAAGCAGATCGGTGGAGCTCCCGGTCGCCTCCTTCCGATGTTCTCCGGGGCGACCGGGTGAGGCATCGCTACGAACGGGGGCTGCTGGCCTTACTACGAACGGAACATCTAGGAACAAGAATGCTAGGAGCAAGGAAGTGAGCTTCAGAATGGCGGGAATGCCACGTGCTCGCGCGGTGGATGCTGGATATGCCAGGTGTCCCTGCTGGGGCTGCGGAGGAGCTTCTTGCTGCCTTGGAAGATGAGGCGCAGGGCGCTCCGCTCCTTGGCAAGGTTTGGTGTCCGGATCCATGGCTCTACAGGGTTGGGTTGTGCAGTTGAATATATAGTTTTGGGGGCTGCACTTTGGGCATGAGTTGTTCATATTCCTTGTTCATAATTATCATATAGCCCCGTACAGAAAGTCTTAAACATCAGTCCCCCCAGGATCCTATTTTGGGTGGACTCCTGCAGATCCTATCTCCATACAGTCTCACATGGTGGGGTTTTGAAGGACCTGAACTCCTGCCATTGTATGGAGTCTCATGCCGTTTGATGATATGTGTTTCTTGAACATCTCTTGGAGCCAAGCAAAAAGAACACACTTGGCTCACTCACGGCAAACAGATCCGAAAAGCGCACATGGCCAAAATGTGGAGTTGTTGTGAAATTGTTGTTCCGGATTGTTTTTGCATTCCAAAAAAAAAACGATCTTCTTTACTTCTTTTGGGGGGTTGTGCAGCTTCACAGATATAACAAAGAAAGAAGGAGAGCATTCAAACGAATCGGAGTCCTGGCAGCCCTGGTGGTACATTTTGGAATGGGGGAATGTACCTCGTATTTGTGAAGCATATACAGTGTTTGAAGAAAGACTTCACACACACAGAGCACGATGCGATTCAGAAAAGGCGGAACTGTGTGAATGCTGTCGTCCGTCATCGTTGGTCATTCTATAAAGCTGCCAAATGCTTCCAAACCTGACCCCTTATAGAATTGCATTTTTGAAGGGTTGGTGTCCATTTTGGCGTTGATCTTGCCCCTATGAACCCTTGAGAGCAGGGTGGGGTTAACAATTGTATCAATATAGCTTAAATTGAGGTTATATGCATACAAACGTGTCATTTTGCTTCTTTTTGGTCGGTCCGGACTCCCCATTCTATAGTGAGTTTGTTTATATTTTTAAGATGGGCAACCCATTCTATGCTTGAAAAAAGGTGGGGGAAGCAAATGTATTGCTATAAAGTGGAGAGTCCAGGTCGACCATGGGAATGTGATGGAGGATTCATATTGTCATTACGTACAATGTGGGTGTGCGCTCTTTTTGACGAGTAGGAATATTGAAGCAAGATCAAAAAAGGTGCAAACACATTTGTCCAACCAAAATCGCGTTTCTTGCACACCATTGCGCAAACACATAATCATATTAGCTGTGGGAGACTCTGTCCTTTTTGACCTTCGCCCCAGGCTGCCTCGCATCCCCGACCGCGACCTGCGAAACCTGCGCAAGACCTTCGTGGCTCGACGGACGAGCCGTGGTGGACGACCTTGGTGGTCCGTGGACGACCTCGGTTTACACTTTAATACACTTTACACTCCATTGGACATACTCCATTTGAGTGAAGTCCAGACACTCCATTGGAATACACTTTACACTCCATTGGTTTGGAATGATGTCCAGACACTCCATTGGACTGCCAGGACGGACTGCCGATCAGTTGACCCCTCAGACCATCCCAACTGATCGGCATGCATGTCATACATGGAGTGTTTGGGATGTGGACTCTTGATGAATCATCCATATGAATCCGGATCTCCAATTCAACTTGGGGGGCGCGTGTTCTGAATCATCAAGAGTCTAACAGTGGGCTTTGTTTGGCCGAATGTGGCTGCCCATAGGTGACCTTGGCCGGGTATGGGTCTTGGGTGTTGGACGGCTAAGCCCAAAAAAGAACTCTATATGGCAACCAGCAGGACAGCCGCGGGGCTGATAAAATGTAATACATGAATTCATTGTAATCTTGTGCCGGGTCTTTGCGTGGAGTGAGGCAGCAGCCAGTTTGGAGCAACACTTACAGAGGTTTGGATTGTTCTGAATACACTTGGAACCCGCTTCAATCTAGACTGCTTCAATGCATTTGGTTTCCATGTTGTTTCCTGAGTGCACCCTGATAGAACCAGGACATCCTAACAAAAGCTAGAAAGATCTAAATAGATCCCAACAAAAACCCAATCATTCCCTGGCACAAGCTAGAAAAAACTACAGTAAGTACTGTAGATCCCAGTAAAAAACAAAACATCACTCACAGCTTGCAAGTGCAGCTGAACTCAGAACTCAGTTTTTTCCACCCTCATCCATGATCAAAAGTCAAGTCAGACCATCATCTCAAGTCTTCATAGTCCATCCATCTCCTGGGTTTTTTTGGGTGCTTGTGTTTAAAGAAGAACCCTTTACCCTCAGAGTCCATGGACCCTTAAAAGTAGGACCTCCACCGAGGAGGTCCTTAAAAGGCCGATGTCCGAGAAACCATAGAAGTTGCTGGGGTTTCACCGCCGAGGAATTTGAGGAAACCCAGCAAAGGGGATATAGGATCCTGTGAAACCTTGGTCCACAATTTAATCACAACCCTGGTCGTGAGCAATCTTGAAAAACGTCCACTCATTCAGATTCATATAGAAATTGCGCACAAAAGTGTGTAGGATGCCATGCCAATGCTCACAATGGCTCACGCTTTGCTGGGGGATTTTGTTTTCCTGTTGAGGTTGTTTGTGCCTTAGAGACCTCCGTCCGAGGTACTTTTCAGGACCTTTGCTCACGCTTGCTCACGTTTGCTCACACTAGCTATGAGCAGACAGCAGACAGCTATGAGGGTGTTCAGTTTATTTGGTGGGAAATAAAGGTCCGGAATTGCACGATGCCAAATGCCCTCAATCAAGCCAACACCAGCAGTGAGGGCCCATCAATTAGCCCCCTCGCCGATGTTCTTTTTAGGACCTCTTTTCTCAACAAATCCGAGGACCCTACAAAGTAGGACCTTGGACTTCCAGGGTTATATAGTCGGCCATAAGTCCGTATAAGGGCTTATTGCCGACTTGGGGTGACTGGCGCGACCAGTTTCTCCCTGTTTCTCCTCAGTCGACTCGGACGAGCGACCAGGCAGAGATCGAGCGACGGAGCGACCGGCCAGGCACGAATGAACCTCTCCAATCTCATTGGCGTACGGCGACCGAGCCGGCCGGCCGGGCGCTCGACAGCCGTCGGTCACGATGATGAAGCCGGTGATGAACACGAACACAGCATCGGTACATGGAGGTTTGGCGACCCATCCGGGCATTGGGTACATGGCTCATGCTCTATCTAGGGTATGTACCAGGTCTTCGCGATAAGATGTGGTTGGTGGTGGCCCACAGTCACTCATTAGGCCATCAAACACAACCAGGATTCCAGGCCCAGCATGGATTTCACAGCCTGAATCGTTTTACTCAGGATTTGGCACTGCAAAACCAGGTCAACCTTTCTTTTGGTCTTGGATGGCCAGGGGTAAAGCTGAAATGCTGGGGTTTCCTGGTGGTCTCACATGACCAGGCTGGCTTTTTCCGCCGCTGAACACGGGTGATCTACGGAACGATCTCCGCGGATGAGTGCTCAGGGAGCACCAGGAACTTCTGTAGACTCCCTACGCATCCATAAATTAACTGTTATGTAACATGTAGGTTGGAGGGTCCAAGTACCTTCTGAGGTTCGGTACTTGGACCCCTAGAGATTGCAGACGAAACACGCACTTCGAAACAGTTGACGGCACAGTCACAACTGGTTTTCTTGAGGGTGATTGCACGTCGCTGTCGCCAAAGTCATCCGAAGCGAATCCGGCAAGGGTTGTGATGACTTATGTTGTGGAACTTAGACAATGCAACTTCCCTGATCACATTCTTACTATACTATTATCTACTAACTACTATATATTGACTATAGTCGTGTGTTTGTGACCTGAGACTTGCCAGCTCCACTTAAAAACTTCATTGTAGTGGTCCCCAAATAGATATATAGAAATGGTGTCCAATACATTTTAGTGGGGATCTACGTTTAAATCCATTTGCGGCTCTATATAGATTGTTGTTTTTCTCATGTCCTTTTCCAGCGTAGACTCCCAAAAAGAGAATCGACCTTGTTAACCATTTGCGTGCATCACAAAGGTCAGTCGGTTCGATAGAGACGCTGCAAAAGAAACCACCCCAGCAATCAAGCAGAGCCCCATACAACTGGACATCGCAATTGCGACGCCGCCCAGGGAACCCACCACACTCAATGACACCACCGGAGACAGACAGCAAACGGAGGCGACCCAAGCAACCCACCACACCCCAAGACAACCGGACGTCACTGGAGACACTGCTACCAGAGGCGACGAAGAACAGACGCAACCTGAGAAAACTGGACCAGCCGAATCCGGAGGGGTCCGCACCCGAACCAATCCCTGTTGAGTGACGGTCAGGCGTGGTGAAATGACGTGCCGACGCATCGATGCGGGTGTCCGCCAGACTCGGTGAGGGTTCGACTCGGTGGTTTGCCACACATGACTGACACGCCAGGGTGGTGGATGGGCTCTGATGTGCCAACAAAAATCTTTACTTAAAGGTCCACCGTGGTTAGTAAACACTTAGCATACATACTAACCATATACAACACATACGAAAACACTTAGCACACTTAGCTATGTGCACTTAGAGCAGTTAGTAAGTGTCCTAAGTGTTTCCCCAAAAGAGTTCCAACCCTGTGTGAGCCGCTCTTCCCTCCTGGGCACGGCAGCTGCTGGCGTCACCTGCGAGGGGGCCAGTGTATGTCATACGATCCCATGAACGCGTTGACTGCACGTCATATTGCCCTCATGAACGTGTTGACTGCATGTCGTGTGGGCCTCATGTAATGTTGACTGCATGTCATGTGAACCCATGAACATGTTGACAGCTTGACGCAGAAGCCTTATTTTCACCAGATCGCCAGCGCTCCCCGTTCCTTCATGCAGTGCATGCACGTGTCTGTGACACATGCAAGAGGCACAAGCTGGCAGTTGAGACTGCGTCACATGCTCCCACACGTCGAGGCATGCCATGCATGTGTCCTCAACACTGCAGAGCCACCTCACTTTGCCAATGTGTTTGCGGTCGACCGTGGCCTCAACAAAGACCAGCCGGTGATGCCCTTTCGTGAAGACTTGACAACAACATTTGCAGGAAGCTGAAGGGCCATCGAAATCATGTCAGAGATCTTTGATGAAGCCGGCTGCGCCTCCAACAAACATGGCCACTCGCGTGGAATCGAAACCTCATCATCCATCATCTCGAACTGTCTCAGAGTAGTGTCCTGCATGACACTCTTTTCAAACGACCGGGCAGGGTTGTTCACTTGATTCACTATGCGCTTCATGCGGCGCTTCCTCTCCTGGCAGAAGCATGCCAGGAGCACTTGATGTTTTCTCCACATGGACGGTAAATGCAAGCAGCTGTGGAACTTTGGCGTCCAGTATTCCGATCCATGACTGTTCTGGAAGGTAGACAAGTGAAGTTGTATCTCCCGGGCAAACTTTGACAACAACTAACCCGCCCTCCCACAAACAAAAGCCCAAAACGTGCATGCGTGACATGACCAAACCTTTTGCTTGCGCGTCCCGTACTTCAGTGAAGTGCTTCCCCAAAGTGTTCTTCTGCGCTGTGAGGAAGGATTGGATCTCGTTCAGCTCAGATAGGAGTTGGGACATCACACACCAAACAAACATTATTAAGGAGAAGAAGCAGGATGTCAGTCATGCCCATCAAAATGAACTGTTGACACGTGTCTCCACACGCTGTCCTATATTGTGTTGACATGCGTCCTGACACGTTGTCATGGTCATGGATTTTGTCATGTTGTTTGCGTTGCGTTTCACATGACAACAACAAGAACAACAAACGCAAGAACTGCTGTAGACGTGAGAGAGCACAACACAAGTACAGCTGCGAACAACCACTCGCAAAACAATTTCTCACTCAAACCTCTAGCAGTTGACTGGGTTGGCCAATGTTCAGTGTAAGACTATAGAGCTCAACCACATCTCAAAGTGTTTTGAAACATTGTCTCAAGCTTCTAGCAGTTGACCAGTTCGGCAAGTGCTCAGAGCAAGACTAGAGCTCAACCACATCTCACAAAAAAACAATGTGCGTTTCATCACTGCGTGTGGTCTGCAAAATCGTCTGAAACTAGTCTCAACTTGTGTCAGCCCGTCTCAGCCACCAACATGTTAGAAGACCGTAGTTTAGCAATATTGTAAAAATATGATTGGCTCTAGACCTAGATTTTTATAACATTATATAGATTGTGCAGCATTATCCAATCTGGGCAAATTAAGGCGAGCTCACCTGACGAGGTACGAGGTAGAATAATTTCGAGACGAAAATAAGCGAGGTAAGTCCAGCAACAGCAGCAGCACAAAGCTTTTGAGCTTGTAAGGGCCACTGCTGTGCATAGCTTCCAGGAGCTACTGGGACTCCACTCACCATGCCACACAGAAGCCCCAAGAATACCAAAAACAAAAAACAACCTATTTTTAAGAAATAGGCCCGATTTTGACCCAAGCATGCTTGAAGGAATTGGGGCTTGTAGAGGCCACTGCTGGGTGTAGCTTCCAGGAGCTACAGGGGATCCACTCACCACGCCACACAGAAGCCCCAAGAAGACCAAAAACAAAAAACAACCTGTTTTT